CGCCAGGCGCCTCGCGAGTGGCACGATACACTCAGGACTACACTTGCGGCTCTTGGGTTTGTTCCTTCTACAGCAGACCCGTCGCTGTTTCTACGCACCAACACCTCGCTGCCGCCCTTCTACATCCTAGTGTACGTCGACGACCTCGTCTTTGCCACGGCTGACACTGAGGCACTGACCCTAGTTAAGTCCGAGCTGCAGAAGAGACATACCTGCACTGAACTGGGTGAACTGCGCAGCTATCTTGGCCTGCAGATCACCCGGGACAGAGCACGGCGCACCATCACACTGACTCAGTCACACATGGTGCACCAGGTCCTTCAGCGCTTCGGCTTCCAGTACTCCTCGCCACAGCTCACTCCTCTGTCTACCAGCCACTCGCTCTCAGCTCCACCTTCGGACGAGTCCTTAGAGCCGAGTGGTCCGTACCCAGAGCTTGTGGGTTGCCTCATGTACCTGATGACTTGCACACGACCTGACCTCGCGTACCCTCTCAGCCTTCTGGCTCGCTACGTGGCTCCCGGTAGGCACCGAAAGGTGCACTGGGATGCTGCGAAGAGGGTATTGCGTTACCTGTGCAGTACGTCGGGCATGGGGCTTGTGCTTGGAGGACGGGGTCCTGTTGTCCTCACTGGTCACGCAGACGCCTCCTGGGTTGACGACTCAGCTACGCAGCGGTCGTCGCAGGGTTACACCTTCAGCCTTGGGTCTGGCTCGGTTTCTTGGCGGTCTACCCGCTCGTCTTCAGTTCTCAGCTCCAGCTGTGAGGCTGAGATCTACGCCGGAGCCATGGCTGCTCAGGAGCTACGCTGGCTCACCTACTTGCTGACCGACTTGGGAGAGCAGCCTCGTTCGCCTCCAGTCCTGTACGTAGACAACCAGGCCATGATAGCCTTGTGTCAGGAGCACAGACTGGAGCACAGAACGAAGCACATCGCTCTGCGATACTTCCTTGCTCGAGAGTTGCAGCAGCGTGATCAGCTTCGTCTAGCGTACGTGGCCACTCGGGCCAACACTGCTGATGTCTTCACCAAGGCACTTCCGTCTGGTGACCATCAGCGCTTTGTTACTGTGTTAGGCCTTGTGCCTACTTTGCCTCACTTACTTACTGCCTGACTCTGCCTGTACTGTGATCTATCTATATACCTGCATGCTTGCACTTGTTAGGGTATGATCACTGTATTGTTTGTGTTATAGTCACAATAGGCTTGAATGTGCCTAAAACGAAAGATAGAGAGCACAGACGGATTTCTGCACAGCGGCTTCAAACGTTGATAGCGTTCTGCTCACAGCTGCAAATGACTTGATTCAAATTGGATCTGGAGCGTCTTTACGTCGTTTACAATTAGCAATTTAGATTGCACGATTGGATAAAGAATTGACGACACAGCGTCGGTTTGAACGAACGGTACTATGGCAGCCACTATAGTCTTAGAACACAAGATAGGAAGAGTTACGAGTTGGGAATGACTCCCAGCTCCTACAAACCCCAAGAGCCGAGGTACAGTGATGTGGAACAGTGCCACACTGTCCCCAACCACGAAGGGTCTCGAAACTACCCTTCACTAGGGCCTACACCAAGTGAAATGTTACACTAGACAAAGTAATGTAACTATCTTCAATATCTTGAGGTGTACCTTTTTGGCAAGCTTCGAAATCACTTGAGGCTTGACACCAAGGCTCGGGCTCTTCATCACAAACTCATCCTTGAGTTCTTGATGGGTCTGCTGCACACACCTGCGACACGCCGAACGTTCGACACAGGACAAAATAGAAACCGCGAACGACAAAATAGAAACCGCGCGCGAGACACAAACGACCGCGTAACACGCGTCTAGCGATAACTCGCTATTGACTCGACACACACACTCGACATCATGACTCAACATTCACACACAATTATAAGCATGAAATATATATTATCCCATGCCCTCATACCATTCCATACACACACACATTCACGCACACGGACAACAAGCCGAGTGCAAACCGTAGGGTTGCACCAACAGTTTGTTCTCTTTATATAACTCTGCATGTGAACGGGCCTTGTGGCCCTTTGCTTGTGCTCGGACTGTGTGGTGACTTTGTGATCCACCCTGAGCTTGCTTTACTTTGCTTCTTCTCTTGACTGGTCTTGTGACCATTGCTTGTTCTGGCTATCCCCCACTTCGCCTATGGGGGTGTGTCAAACATATATGCTTAGTTATATCTAGACTTCGTTTATGTGTTTATATTTGCCTAGGCTATAGTGGGTTTAGCCTTAGGGGGTACAGATGTCTCTCGACATCCTACTTGTACCCCTTCCCTTTTCTTAGTCATCCATTCTAGCCTACTATTCTCACAGCATGAGTCAGAACTAAGACTTGGTGGGGATGGTGAGGTTCGGGCGAAGTAGGGCCGCAGATCGATTCCACCGGCTTTTAATCTGCTCCCCACGACGTTCTTCAACCCCCGCTTAGCCGTTGGGCCGTTTCTTCCCGTGTGTCCCGGCAGCCTGTACCGACCCCTCCGAAATTGTCGAGTGGTACCTTGGATGCCGTTTAATCGTGGGTTGTCAGCAGCTGTCCCCGAAAACGAATTCCCTGGTCAGGAGAAACCGCTCTCGATACTCCCGGCCAGCTTGCAACAACACCAGGCACGCAGTGTCGCACGAGTTGTTTCTGAGGTGTACCTGCCTCGATTTCCCTCGCCGCCTGTGTCCCACTTCTGCTAAGTGCGATAGGCCACTCCGTTTTTCGTTGCAGCCCGTAAGTGTCGACGAGTCTGAAGTCCCATCTGTCCACGAGCACTTCTGCCGAAATCTTCGATGACGCGCCCGCCATGCAGTAAAAGCCGCTGCACTTCAGGTCGGGCGGGACGACAGTTGACCCCGCGTAAATCGGGCAGTCTTCGTGCCGTCTCTCCTCGCCACCGATATTTTCGGACGCAAAACTCCTTTTGCGCTTGGTGAGTTCCCCAGCCGACTTTTTCTCCATAGTTGCTCCGAAATTATCGCCCACAATGACGCACGTCCCTTGTCGCCAGCTGCCGAGCCACACTCCGTGAGTCACGCGCACAAGATGACGACGAGCCACCGTTGTCAATTGCCGCATGGGATGACTCCGAAGTTGTCGCGCAACTGTTGACTCAGGTCCAACGTCGTCAACTGCCACTCATCGTGACGACTTCCGAAAATTTCGTGCAGGTGCCGACGCAGGTCCGCTGACGCCATCTGCCTCACAAAGTTCCGAAATCGTCGTTAAAACCGCAGCGGAATAGAAACTCACGTTTATTGTCGCGACAGCTACAGCTGTCTGTTGCCCGGGAGGAGGGAGGCCACGGTCGATCGCGACCGTTCGAGGCAAGGATCTGGCGGTGCTGAAGGAGTGCCCATAAAAACATGGCCGCGAGGAGCAACTAACTAGTTCTCATGGCCGGCTTGCACGCAACTCCTGGACCCCAAGGCATCCTTCCTCCCCCCCCCCCCCCCCCCCCTCTTGAGGAGTATTACACTCTAAAAAGCGGGGTGAGCTAGGAAAGTAGCTCTGATACCAGTTGTTATGAATGAACTTGCAGAGTGCGCAGTAAAACGAATAACGAGAATGATTGAGTACTGAATTGATACAATGAACACATTAAGTGACGAGGCTTAAATAGGGGAAGTCCTAGCTAGGCGAAGAGGTAGGGCGAAGATGGCTCGGTGATGGTTGCGATTGGAGCGGAGGCCGACTCGGGGGTGGTTCGGTGCGACGAATTATGGCGAACAGATTTGTCGCGTGACCCTCGGGATGGCCTCGCTAACGAGTGCCTCAGTAAGGATTTGTAAATCCTTACACTTTCCCTTTGAGATAGCCAGTGGATAGAAGGGCGTCACACTTCGTCAACGCCAACGGAGTTCGTTGCAATGGTCTTCCACGTGAATGAAGTTTGGTTGCACGCTGGTGTTGGAATGGTTCGTTCCCAACGTCGATTGGCTCTTATTTCCCCAACAACCACGTGGCTTTGCGTGGATTGGATCATCATGTTCCTCACCCACCAATTCCAAGCGTTCACAACTTCCACCCGGCATAACAAGCTGGGATTCTGAAATCACGTTATCACACAATTGATCCAGTCCGTTCATTCGTCCCGTCCTATGCGCTTCGTTGCCGCATCACGATTTATTTTGTTAGTCAGAGCAGCATTTCCGCTGGCTTAGCGGCATACCGACAGAACCACATCAGGAGGAGCGTATACTTCTCAGCTCGTGCTCGGCTCGGGCATGTGTGACGGCTCTCCCGCGTTACGGGTCTCAGACGGTTAGACTTTCCCGCGCTCGTCGCTGCACTGCAGCGCCGGTCGAGTGGCGCGCCGTTCCGTCTAGCGGTACTGCAGGCCGCCATGGCGCGCCGAGCACGCCTTGAGGCGGCTGTTCGACCGAGAATACGAGAATTGGTAATTGTGCCTCTGCATTGTTGATTTGTGACGAATCGTTCTGACGAGGTGTGGAAGGCTAGCCTGGGTAGGCGCGCCAGCGAGCAGGCAGCGGCGACACGGGGGGCAGTTAGAGGATCGGAGTTTCAGGCTTGCGGGAGAAGGGGGTCGGGGAGACGTGGATCAGCGGAGTTCGGGGGAGCGATCTCGCAACGCCATGAACGGCACGGGCACGGGCACGGGCACGGGCACGGGCATGGGCGTGAGCGGGGCGCGGGTGGCGGAGTTGCTGGGCGAGCTGGCGGCGATGGAGGCGACGGTGTCGTCGCTGCAGAGCGACGTGAGCGACAGCGTGTACCTCGTCGCCAACATCTGGCGCATCACCGGCACCACCTTCGTGCTCCTCATGCAGGTACTATTACTCGTCGCTCCCCCTCGTGCAGCTACCACTCGTCGCCCACCTCGCCGCGCCCCCACTCGTGCCCGCCCTCACTCGTGCTCGGCTGAGCCCGTCTCGTCTCTCCCGTTGGGTCTCCACCTCACCTCCGCCCTCCCCAATACCGAACGCCTTGTTGCCCTTCGCCCTCGTGTGCGGGTGGTGCGTGCAGCTGGGGTTTTCGCTGCTGGAGGCGGGGCACGTGCGGTTCAAGAACACGCGCAACATAATGATCAAGAACGTGCTCGACACGTGCGTCTCCGCCATCGCCTTCTGGCTCTTCGGCTACGCCATCGGCTTCGGCGAGGGCACGCGCGTCTTCGGCTGGGCCAACCCCGACGGCTCCGTGAGTGCCTTTCCCTGCGCCATGCCCCATGAGGCGAGAGGCTCACTATCACTGCCCAGTGGTAGATGGGTCTCAAGGGACTCATTCTCCTGCGCCTCTCTTTCTCCAAATGTGCTCATCCTGCCTTCACTGCATGCACGTTACCACCCATCGCCATCTCCCCATCCATGCCTTTCCCCGCTGCCCTGCATGCCCCGCCTTGCTCCCTGCATGCCCCGCCTTGCTCCCTGCATGCCCCGCCTTGCTCCCTGCCCCCCTCTCTTGACCGTGGCAGGTGGCGTTCGCAGGAGGGCAGAACTACGTGCAGTTCTTCTACGCCTTTGCCTTCTGCGCCACCTCCGCCACCATCTTCGCCGGGGCCGTGGCCGAGCGCACACACCTCGCAGCCTACCTGCTCTTCAAGTGAGCGCCCTCTGATCTTCAACTCAACGCCCTCTGCTCTTTAAGCTCTCGCTCTATGCTCTTCAAATGCTCTCTCTCACACATCCCCTAAACACGATTCACCAGAACAACACATCATGTGCTCACACTTCCCTGGCACCCTGCCATTCTGCCGCCCAGTGCCCACTGCCCTCACCCATGTCATCCACACCCCCTCCCCCCCACCTCCCTGCTTCCCTCCGACTGCCCCAGTTTCGTGCTGGCGGCGCTGATCTACCCGGTGATAGCGCACGTGCTGTGGAGCAGCAACGGGTTGCTGTCGCCAGCGCGGGGGGCGGTGATCCTCAACACCAATGGCGTGCTGGACAACGCCGGGTCCATGGTCGTGCACGTCACGGGGGGGGTCACCTCCCTCGTGGGCGCGTGGATGGTGGGGCCGCGCATCGGCCGCTTTGACATCGACGGCAAAGTCGTGCCGTTCAAGGGCCACTCCATGGTGAGATGCCATGCCACTCCATGGTGAGATGCCATTCCACTCCATGGTGAGATGCCATGCCACTCCATGGTGAGATGCCATGCCACTCCATAAGAGCACAGGGCCCTGTCACCGTGCAGAACCCCACATAACACATGCTCATGCCATGCTGCTACGCGTTCGTTCATTCCCGCCCTCTTCTTTCCATGTCATCTCCTCACCCAAGCCCTTCCCCCCCCTTAGGTGTTTGTGGCGGCGGGCACCATCATCCTGTGGACGGGGTTCTACGGCTTCAACGGCTGCAGCGTGGACTACCTGGGGGAGGACCCGCTGGACTGGAGTGCTGAGGTGGCGCGCGTGTGCGTCAACACCACCATCTGCGCCGCTGCTGCCGGGGTCACCGTGTGGACGCTCACGTACCGGCGGCGAGAGCCGGTGCCGGAGGACACGTTCAATGGGGTCATTGGGGGCCTCGTGGCTGCCTGCGCCACCAGCTCCCTCGTTGAGCCCTGGGCCGCCTGCGTCATCGGTGTGCCTCCTCTCACCCCCTGCTCTCTTTGTCTCTCCGCGTCTTCCATCTCCGCTGCACTTGATTCTCGTCTCGCTCCTGCCACATGGCCCTCGCCACCTGCCACCCTCGTCCCTTCATTCTCGTCTCGCTCCTGCCACATGGCCCTCGCCACCTGCCACCCTCGTCCCTTCATTCTCGTCTCGCTCCTGCCACATGGCACTCGCCACCTGCCACCCTCGTCCCTTCATTCTCGTCTCGCTCCTGCCACATGGCCCTCGCCACCTGCCACCCTCGTCCCTTCATTCTCGTCTCGCCTCGCCATTCCTCTGCCCGAGCATGTGAGCAGGCATGGGAGCGGGGGCGCTGTACCTTCTGGGCACGTGGGTCATGCTCCGATGCCAACTAGATGATCCCGTGCAGGTGTGACCCGTGCAGGTGTGACCCGTGCAGAAATCTAATCAGCTGTGCACATATCTGCATAACTCCACCCACTTATGCTCGCTTCTGTCACTGTCATTCCCACCACCTCTCACCATCAACCCCCCAACCCCCCACCCACCCACCCCAATTGCGAGTTTTAGGCAACGCCGGTGCATCTGGTGTGTGGGTCGTGGGGCGGGGTGGCGGTGGGGTTTTTTGCGAGTCCGGCCAACATCAGCCGCACCTACAACATTGCCCAGCCCCTCTCCTGCGGCGTCTTCTACGGCTGCTCCGGCTGGCAGCTCCTCGTGCAGGTGCACTGCGCCGTGTGTCTACCAGTGCACGTGCGCCCATTCTTCTGTGCACTCTGGCGCCTGCCAGCCACTAACGTGCTCTCCCTGCGTCGTAGTTTGCCCTCATCTCACCCCCTCTCCCTTCCCCCCCACCTCGCTTGCTTTCTCTCTCTCCCTCACCCCCCCCCCGGTCCCATGGCATGGCAGATCCTGGGGCTGGTGATAGTGTACATGTGGGTGGGCGCCACGGCGCTCTTCCTCTTCTACGGGCTGCACTTCTTCGATGTGCTGCGCGTCAAGAGGCACCAGGAGGAGGTGAGCAGCCGAGGCACCAGGAGGTGAGCCCATGGCGCGTCAAAAAGAGGGGCATGGCACGAGGTGTGGCCAAGTGTGGGAGGTAGAGAGCAGGGAAGCAACTCACACGTATGCTTTTCCTCTGTCGGTTATTGCCATTACCACCACACATGTTCTCGCCCCCCCTCATTCTCCCGCTCTCGCCCCCTGTGCCCCTTGTGCCATCACCCAACCCCCCAATGGCAGGTGGGGTTGGACGTGGTGTTCCACGGGGGCGACGAAGCTGACGACGTGGAGGGCGACCAGCACGGCCACGCGCGCCGCTTTGCCTCCCGCCGCTGGCAGCAGCTCGGCCTCTCCACCCTCTCCGCCGTGCCGCGCGGCTTCTTCAGCCCCTCGCGCTGGCTGCGCGCCTCCACGCGCCTCTGCTCGCGCGACGGCCGCAGCACGGCGGACGGGGACGGCATGAGTGTGCGCAAGCGGCGGGACGTGTGGCACCGGGCGCTGGACTGCACAGGGCTGGGGCAGCTGTCGCTGGCCATGTATGAGGCCAACTACGTCATGGAGGACGCCGTTGAGGTGGAGGCGGGGTCGGGGGGGGTGTACCTCGGTGTGCATGATGGGCATGGCGGCAGTGAGACCGCGGAGTTCCTGCGCCACACGCTCTACAACAACCTCAAGAGTGCGTGCACTGCCGCCCCACTGCCATGCTCGCTCCACTGCTCTACTTTGCTGTCCCATCTGCTGCTTGCATTTCCCCCACCCACTGTTTCCACCCTCTCCGTCCCCCCTTCCCTTACAACCACCAGAGGAGTTCCTACGCGGGGGAGGAGCGGTGTCGGTGGAGGCGCTGCGGCGGGGGTTTGCGGAGACGGAGAGGCAGTTCACGGCGCGCGTGAGGGACAGCTTCCTCGACTCGCCGCACCTCGCCACCGTGGGGGCGTGCTCTGCTGTCGCCATCGTCACTCGCAGCGCCCTCTGGGTCGCCAACGTGGGCGACTGCCGTGCTGTGCTGGGGCAGGTGAGACTGCTGGGCCGTGCTGGGGAATGCCTGACTGATAAGTGTGTTACCTGGACCATTCAACCTTCACTCAGCCCTCTCGTTCTCCCTTCCCCGCCCGGCCATTCTGCCCATCCAGGTGCGGCACACGGGGGACGGCCTAGAGTGCCGTGCGCTACAGATGTCAGAGGACCACAACCTGAGCTTCCAGGCCATCCGCGACCGCTACCGCGAGGAGCACGCCGACATGCCCGACGCCGTCACGGAGAAGCGCGGGCGCTACCGCGTCAAGGGCAAGATCACTGTCACCCGCGCCTTCGGGGACCTCTACCTCAAGTCGCACGACTTCAACCGCGAGCCGCTCTTCTCCCGCTTCCGTGTCGCCGAGCCCTTCAACCCGCCGCTGCTCTCCACCGACCCGCACGTGGCGGTGCGCCTGCTGGCGCCGCATGATGCGTTCGTGGTGGTGGCGTCGGACGGGCTGTTTGAGCTGCTGAGCAACCAGGAGGTGGTGGACATGGTGGCCGTCTCCCCGCGCAAAGACATCGCCCGCCAGCTCATCCGTGCTGCCCTGCGGCGCGCGGCGGAGCGCACGGAGGTGCCGTACGGCGAGCTGCTGCGCATGGCGTCGGGGCAGCGGCGGTCGTACCACGATGACATCACCGTTGTCGTCTTCTTCTTTGACCATGATGCCATCCGCAAGGAGGCCGCCCGCAACCAGCCACAATGGAGCAAGGTCAGCCGCCCATTCCCTCCCCGCTCTCCCCATGCACTCATTCCCCCTTCCAGCTTGCCCTCTCCCTGTTGCTGCATCTCATCCCAGCGTCAGCATGCCCCTCTCCGCCCCTCTGCCCCCTTCCACCCCTCCCCTCTGCCGGTGTCCCTGTGGTGCATGGGAGCAGGACGTATCGCTCAAGGGCGGGGTGAGTGTGGATGCGGCGGGGGCAGTGGTGAGCGACTTCAACGTGATCAGCAGCGTGCACGGCGCCACCGCTGCGCGCTCCCTGCTCGCCCGCTCCATCGGCTCCACCAACAACCTTGCTGCCGCCTCCACACTTAGTGCATCGCTCATAGAGGACTCGGCGCTGGAGATTGAGTAGAGCACAGCAGACAAGAATCCACAAACATATACGGTATTATTTGTATTTATTTATTTTTATCATGGTCTTGTCCTATGATGGACAGCACTTGTATGCAGGTAACAGTTTAACCTTGCTTGCTGGCTTTCTTGGCGCCAGAGCCAAGCCACCATCCCACCTTGGTGGGAGTGCAGAGCAGACCAGGCCAACAAGCTGCCCCAATGGGGGCTTGTTCGTCATTGCTCCAAAAGTGTGCTGCTTCAGGTTTGGCCTTGCTTTTGGCCAACTGTCGGCACAAGATGCTGCCTGTCCAGTGATTCCAACAGCGAATGAGCACATGGTTACCGTAATCACCCGGACATACCACCCGCCGAAATTGTAGACCCCCCGGGTGGCTTGTGCGGGGTGGGTGTTATAGTTGACCCCGTTTGTACTATACCCCCCCTTTTGGGGTGATTTTTTATAACACCCCCTTTTTTACACAGAATGCCTTATTTTAGGTGTTAACGAGTATGTGCAATGACGGGGGGACATCGCGACGATCACTTTTTGCACGAAATTACATGGTAATTTCGAAAGTATCTGCTGGGGTCACCTCCGTCCCACTTTTTCACTGTTGCCACGCTGGTAGTTCTTTCGCTATCAAGTGGCCAAAGAGGTGCCACCTCGCAACTTCAAGGAGTCGTCAATGTTGTCGTCGAAACTGACAATCTCGCTTCCAACTGTGATGCTAAACCAACCTTGAAAACACCCAATCTGCCTATTTATAGAAACCCTTACACTAAAAAAATGTCATATATATGCACCCGGGTGGTATGTAGCTTTTTCCTATGAGAAGACCCCCCACCATTTTTTTGCTGTATTTAAAGTAAGACCCTAGGGTGTTATGTCCGGGTGATTACGGTATGCTGAGCTCCAAATTCGTGCCACTCAATGAGAGCAATTCAAAAGAGCGATCCAGCATTGTTCGTTCCATGCAAGCAAACCAATTCAAATAAGTATATCAATAGGAAGCAAGTATTTACGGTATACATAAGGGTTGCTTGGGTTAGTATTCTGACGATAACTTTGAGAGATGGGGATCACAGGCCATGGCCTATAGACAAGCCAGATGGCATTATTGGGAAAAGCATACGGTAATCAAGACCATGTGTTGCTGTGTGCTGACATGTGCTGCCATGTGCATTCATGAACGCACACACATGCAGGGCATCACAGGGGGGCGGTGGGGGGCTGCCAGGGCAGCAGCTCGCTGCGAGGGGCCCACATGGCCACGTCGCCATCCGCATCATCATCGTCGCCCCTCAGAATGTTCACCACGCCACGGCACCCGCTGCTGCCACAGTTGCACGCCAGCTGCTCGTCCTGCGAGTCAAACCTGTGGGGGGGAGGAGGGGAGGGGGGGAAGGGAAGGGGATGGGATCACGGTCAAGAGGCATGGGTATGGTTATGGTCAAAAGGGGGCGAGAGGGCAGTAGATGGATGAGCAGCTCAACAACAAGGCAGTTGGAAATGGGCGTGCGGTGGTCGGTGGGAGAGGGTGGGGAGGGCTCAGGGCCGTGCCTGTAGTCGTAGGTGAGTTCCTCGCCAGCCATGATGTCCCGGCGGGCAAAGATGACAATGCGCTCCTCCGCACTCGCCTGCACCACCCTCGAGTAGCAGTTGGGCTGCATGGGGCGGAGGGAAGGAGAGTGGAGATGGAATGGCAGGATACGTGAGACGAGAATGAGGGGTGTTGTGACGGGCACATGCAGGCATGGGCAGGTGGGAAACCTGCCCATTCTCAAGTGAGCGACATAGATGACAGGAGAGAAACAAGACGCGAGAGAGGCTGCAGCAGAGCCTAACAGCACACGACATGCAGAAAAGAGCAAAGAGCATGGATGGAGTGGGACTGACGTTGCAGGAGTGGTTGATGAGGTGCGCTATGGTGCCCGCCTTGGTGGCATCCACCACTCGCTTGCTGTCGATTCTGAACATGTACGTGCCCGCTCCCTGTGTCACGCGCAACAGCCGTTCGCCACGCAGGCACCGCACACACATGTGCCACACATGCATCACACACCGTGTTCCAAGCAATGAACCATGCATCACACACCGTGTGTCAAAGCAATGCACCATGCATCACACACCGTGTGTCAAAGCAATGCACCATGCATCACACACCGTGTGTCAAAGCAATGCACCATGCATCACACACCGTGTGTCAAAGCAATGCACCATGCATCACACACCGTGTGTCAAAGCAATGCACCATGCATCACACACCGTGTGTCAAAGCAATGCACCATGCATCACACACCGTGTGTCAAAGCAATGCACCATGCATCACACACCGTGTGTCAAAGCAATGCACCATGCATCACACACCGTGTGTCAAAGCAATGCACCATGCATCACACACCGTGTGTCAAAGCAATGCACCATGCATCACACACCGTGTGTCAAAGCAATGCACCATGCATCACACACCGTGTGTCAAAGCAATGCACCATGCATCACACACCGTGTGTCAAAGCAATGCACCATGCATCACACACCGTGTGTCAAAGCAATGCACCATGCATCATCACACACCGTGTGTCAAAGCAATGCACCATGCATCACACACCGTGTGTCAAAGCAATGCACCATGCATCACACACTGTGTGTCAAAGCAATGCACCATGCATCACACACCGTGTGTCAAAGCAATGCACCATGCATCACACACCGTGTGTCAAAGCAATGCACCATGTATCACACACCGTGTGTCAAAGCAATGCACCATGCATCACACACCGTGTGTCAAAGCAATGCACCATGCATCACACACCGTGTGTCAAAGCAATGCACCATGCATCACAGACAATGTGTCAAAGCAATGCACCATGCATCACACATCAAACACCACGCCCATACATCCACCAGGCAGAGAAGCAATGAGTAACGGAGACATGGAGAAATGACCTGGTGCAAAGGAAAAAGAGTGGTTGCGGCAATGAAAGGGTGGTGCAGCGCAGTTATTAAGGTTGCAGTGTACGGAGAAGCATACATACCACGAGTGAGTCGTAGCAGCGCCTCTCCCTCAAGTCTGCCACCACTGGCCGCACCACCTCGCCTCCGTACTCTATGATCTGATGGGACAGCACAGCATGGGCACCACAGCATGGGCACCACAGCATGGGCACCACAGCATGGGACATAGAAACAGGTTTGAGCAAGACGAGAAAGAGGGAAGACGTTTAGGCGAACGCAAGAGGAGCGGTGATACCACACACTGCACGGTGATACCTCACACTGGACAGTGATACCTCACACTGCACGGTGATACCACACACTGCACGGTGATACCACACACTGCACGGTGATACCACACACTGCACGGTGATACCACACACTGCACGGTGATACCACACACTGCACGGTGATACCACACACTGCACGGTGATACCACACACTGCACGGTGATACCACACACTGCACGGTGATACCACACACTGCACGGTGATACCACACACTGCACGGTGATACCACACACTGCACGGTGATACCACACACTGCACGGTGATACCACACACTGCACGGTGATACCACACACTGCACGGTGATACCACACACTGCACGGTGATACCACACACTGCACGGTGATACCACACACTGCACGGTGATACCACACACTGCACGGTGATAACCACACACTGCACGGTGATACCACACACTGCACGGTGATACAACACACTGCACGGTGATACCACACACTGCACGGTGATACCACACACTGCACGGTGATACCACACACTGCACGGTGATACCACACACTGCACGGTGATACCACACACTGCACGGTGATACCACACACTGCACGGTGATACCACACACTGCACGGTGATACCACACACTGCACGGTGATACCACACACTGCACGGTGATACCACACACTGCACGGTGATACCACACACTGCACGGTGATACCACACACTGCACGGTGATACCACACACTGCACGGTGATACCACACACTGCACGGTGATACCACACACTGCACGGTGATACCACACACTGCACGGTGATACCACACACTGCACGGTGATACCACACACTGCACGGTGATACCACACACTGCACGGTGATACCACACACTGCACGGTGATACCACACACTGCACGGTGATACCACACACTGCACGGTGATACCACACACTGCACGGTGATACCACACACTGCACGGTGATACCACACACTGCACGGTGATACCACACACTGCACGGTGATACCACACACTGCACGGTGATACCTCACACTGCACGGTGATACCACACACTGCACGGTGATACCACACACTGCACGGTGATACCACACACTGCACGGTGATACCACACACTGCACGGTGATACCACACACTGCACGGTGATACCACACACTGCACGGTGATACCACACACTGCACGGTGATACCACACACTGCACGGTGATACCTCACACTGCACGGTGATACCACACACTGCACGGTGATACCTCACACTGCACGGTGATACCACACACTGCACGGTGATACCACACACTGCACGGTGATACCACACACTGCACGGTGATACCACACACTGCACGGTGATACCACACACTGCACGGTGATAATACACACTGCACGGTGATACCACACACTGCACGGTGATACCACACACTGCACGGTGATACCACACACTGCACGGTGATACCACACACTGCACGGTGATACCACACACTGCACGGTGATACCTCACACTGCACGGTGATACCACACACTGCACGGTGATACCACACACTGCACGGTGATACCACACACTGCACGGTGATACCACACACTGCACGGTGATACCACACACTGCACGGTGATACCACACACTGCACGGTGATACCACACACTGCACGGTGATACCACACACTGCACGGTGATACCACACACTGCACGGTGATACCACACACTGCACGGTGATACCACACACTGCACGGTGATACCACACACTGCACGGTGATACCACACACTGCACGGTGATACCACACACTGCACGGTGATACCACACACTGCACGGTGATACCACACACTGCACGGTGATACCACACACTGCACGCAACTCATGCCGTGATATGCCGAATCTGCTTAGGATAAGAGCAAGCAATGGATGCAGATGCAGGGTGCGGGTGGCAGTTGGCACTCACCATGTCTCCAGCCCGATGAGGCGTCTTGGCGAACACACCCCACCCATGTATGGCTGACTTGCCTGCACCCATGCAGCCCCACACGCACACACAAGGGAAGAACCGCATAGCATTAGAGAGACCACAGCAGAAGCAGAGCTAGTGTTGGCACGACACACTCACACATCCAGGAGCACTGCACTGCATCCCTGCCCCTGCTATCATCGCTGCCCACACCCCCCACTTTCCCTCGTCCCACCACACACCCCCCACTTTCCCTCGTCCCACCACACGAACGCACCGAAGGCGAGGCGCTGCTGCTGGGTGGACTTCATGCGGCGGAAGCGGTCCGACATCGACCGCACCTCGCCCTCCCCGCTGCCCGCCTGCCCCTCCTGCCCGTCCACGCCGCCGACCAGCCCCGAGTGCAGCAACCGCCGCAGCCTGCTCACATGCACACCACCCCCCGGCCCCACGTCCCTCACGCCTTCAGCATCACGGCACACCTCCTGCTGCCCTGCCCTGCCATGCCCCTCCCCCACCACGCCCACGTGCTCGTCCTCTGCACCTTGCTCCTGGGCGGGGTGGGAGGCAGCGTGCTGCATGTGTGCTCGCACCGCCTCCACCACAGAGGGGCCGTGCACGCGGCGCTGCTCCTGGCGGCGGCCGCAGATGGCGAAGGGCACGTTCTCCAGAAACGACCGCTTCGCCAAAAAGGCCGCCACCGCGTCCGGCTCCCTGCGCCCCCTTCGTATGCGTGCGTCAAAGGGCTCTGAATTGGGGTGAGGAGAGCGGGAGGAGGGGAATGGGAGAGGGAGAGGTGAGGCCGATGAGAGAGAAGGGGGGAGAACGGAGGAGGGGGGGAAAGCGGACACAGGTACAGGTAAAAACGGGAAATTGAAGAACCAATATGTGGTCTTCTTGGTTCTGCCTCACCTGTTCGAGCGCACAGCACTCTCTCTCCGCCCGCCCTGCCACCGAGCGGTGCATCCCGCCGGCTGCTGTCCATCTCACACCCGCCCTCGCTGCTACCCCCTCCGGTTCCACTGCTCTCACTCCACCCACTCTCGCTGCCACTCCCACTGCCACCCTCATTCTCCCCTCCTTTCCCCTCTTTCCCTGCCCTCGCACCACCGCTGCCCCCATTCTCCCTCGCACCCTCCCTACCCCCACCTCCCTCTTCTCTGTCACATTCGCTCCCTCCCATCCCTTCTCTCCCCCTCTCTGCCAGCCCACTGCCCAGAGCAGCAGGGGTGGCGGCAGGGGAAGAGGGGGTTGAGGGGGGCGGATGGCAGAGCAGCTGCGACATGGGGAGCACTTTGGGGGGTGGGTCGGAGGGAGCGGGGGAGGCCGCAGCAGCAGCAGATGTGGCTGGCGCGGAGGTGGGGGAGGGCGGGCGAGGGGGAGCAGCAGCGGCGGTGGGTTCGGGGGAGGGGGAGGGCGCGGAGGGGTGGGGGGGAAGGGAGGGCGTGGCGTGGAGGGCTTTGGCGCGGGCGCGGTGGCGCGGGCAGAAGCAGATCATAGCCACGGACCCCACCACCGTGCCATGCAGTCGGCTGCGCTCCATGCTCTCCTCACTCATGTCCAATGTCTGCCCACACGAGGGGCGCACGGGGGAGACGAGCAACGGGACAGGTGACTTGCTGTCCATGCTCTCCTCACTCATGTCCAATGTCTGCCCACACGAGGGGCGCACGGGGGAGACGAGCAACGGGACAGGTGACTTGCTGTCCATGCTCTCCTCACTCATGTCCAATGTCTGCCCACACGAGGGGCGCACAGGGGAGACGAGCAACGGGACAGGTGACTTGCTGTCCATGCTCTCCTCACTCATGTCCAATGTCTGCCCACACGAGGGGCGCACGGGGGAGACGAGCAACGGGACAGGTGACTTGCTGTCCATGCTCTCCTGACTCATGTCCAATGTCTGCCCACACGAGGGGCGCACGGGGGAGACGAGCAACGGGACAGGTGACTTGCTGTCCATGCTGGCCTCGCTCTCTCATGTGCATCGTGTACAAGGGAGGGGTTAGGAGAGAGGAAGTCACGGGTTGTTGTGTGAATGATGTGTTACGGGTGCTCTCACCCGTACGACGTAGCCTTGCCCCCCCTCTCACCCGTACAAGGTAGCCTTGCCCCCCCTCTCACCCGTACGAGGTAGCCTTGCCCCCCCTCTCACCCGTACGAGGTAGCCTTGCCCCCCCTCTTACCCGTACGAGGTAGCCTTGCCCCCCCTCTCACCCGTACGAGGTAGCCTTGCCCCCCCTCTCACCAGCATGGGGTAGCCCTTAAGTTTGGCACAGAGCGGGTGGAAGGCGGTGTAGCACTGCCCTGCCGCACACTGGATGCACGCCCCGTGGGGGATGCGGCACACACAACACCGCAGCTGCCACCGCGCCTGCAGGGGGAGGGAAGGGCGAAGAGGGGGAGGGGAAGCAGCATGGAGGGGAGAACGATGTTTGTAATAAGCATGGAAAACGTCGGGATGACTAGGGAGCGAGAGTGACTAATATCGAAACGGAGACGTGCATTGAGAGGGGCAGTGGTTGGAATGGTGAGAGGTGAGAGGTGAGTGGTGAGTGGTGAGTGGTGAGTGGTGAGTGGTGAGTGGTGAGTGATGAGTGGTGAGTGGTGAGTGGTGAGTGGTGAGTGATGAGTGGTGAGTGGTGAGTAGTGCACGGTGAGCACACCTTGGGGATGTCATCAAAGCCAGTGACGGGCTCCATGCGCTTGATGTTCACAAACGACGTCTCTGTGAGCCGCCACAGGTGGGGGGGGGGGGGTCAGGGTGGATGGATGAGGGTGAGGGTGGACGGACAGCAGCGACTACATGAAGTGCGCATGAGGGTCGAATCAACGGACAAGGGAAGCGCATTGTGCCTATTCCAGTGGCTCTTGTCACACAATGCCCCACTGCTCCATGCCGGTCGCTTCCACTCCCTGACTCTCAGTAGCCCACCTGGGATCCAGAGAGAGCATGCCAGGTGCGCCCACAGCCCATGCACCGTCCGCTTCATAGCCCCTCCTGGTGATGTGCATGGGGATGGGCATGGGCATGGGGATGGGCATGAGCATGGGCATGGGCATGGGTATTGGGATGGGGAGGGGCATGGGGATGGCATGGGGATGGGGATGCGGATGGGCATTGGGATGGGGATGGGCATGAGATGGGTACGGGGATGGGCATGGGGATGGGCATGGGGATGGGCATGATGGGCATGGGGACGGGGATGGAATTATCTATCCAGTACGGTTGGCACAGAGCAAAGGTCACAGACAGGAGCGGATAACTGGGTGGACGGGGAAACCAGGACGGTGGAGAAGATGGGAGGGCGGGGACAAGGGATGAGCGCTGACCTTGCACAGGGCAGAGGCAGCAGAGGGGCTTGGCATCGCGCTTGCCCTGCCGCTCGTGCTTGCTGCACACGTCGCACAGCCACAGCCCGCCATCTGGCGGCTCTCTGACGCCGTAGCATGCCATGTGGACCATGATGCGACAGCTGTCGCACTGCAGCAGCTGGTCGTCCTCGTACTCCTGCATGCACTCATGTGCGCGCACAGGGGGTGGTATGAGCGCATGAGCATGAGCATGAGCATGAGCATGAGCATGAGCATGAGCATGAGCACATGAGCATGAGCATGAGCATGAGCATGAGCATGAGCATGAGCATGAGCATGAGCATGAGCATGAGCACATGAGCATGAGCATGAGCATGAGCATGAGCATGAGCATGAGCATGAGCATGAGCATGAGCATGAGCATGAGCATGAGCATGAGCATGAGCATGAGCATGAGCATGAGCATGAGCATGAGCATGAGCATGAGCATGAGCATGAGCATGAGCATGAGCATGAGCATGCTGATGTGCCCTCTCCCATCCTCCCACGAAGAAGAAGCAACCTCCCTCACCCGCTGACCTTGAAGAAGCACCCCCCTTCCCCCGCGCACGCACTGACCTCGGAGAGGCAGCACACATCACAACGGTCGAGGGACGCCTGCCGGTATTCCACCGCTTTGAACCCCGCCGGCAGCCGCGACTCCTTCACCACCACAGCCCCCGCCCGCACCCCCTGCGCCGCCTCCCCCTGCTGCTTCGCTGGCGCACTGGCCTGCCGCGCCCTCTCGCCCCTGCTGGCGTCCGCAGTGTTGGAAGCAGACGCGGGGCGAGGGGCGTTGACCCACGCACTGAACTGCTGGCAGTGGCTGGCGTTGGGCAGACCCTGAATGAGCTGCGCCACGCGCGGATGTGTGAGGCCGAACATCTGTGCCCCCGACCGCACGTGGTGTGACGGCAGCCATGCCCCACACCGCCCGCTGCCCCTGCTGCCCCCGCTGCCACAGCTGCCACCGCTGCCACCCCACCCCCCACTCACCCCGCCACACTCGCCCCCACACCGCGGGCTGCCACTGCCATGCGCTGCCCCCACTCCTCCCCCTTGTGCTGGCAGCGCCTGACACGGCGGCCGCAGGGGGGAGGGGGTGAGTAGGGGCGCGGATGAGGGGGAGGCGGCGAGGGGGCGCGCTGCAGAGGCGGGGGGGAAGGCCCACCGGAGAGGGTCCCCTGCAGGCATCCCCCGCTGGGCCGAGGCCCCTTGGACGCCTGCTGCTGCGCCCCCCCTCTCGTCCTCTCCGCCCCCATCCACCTCCATTGCTTCCGCCTCCGCCCCTCCCTGCCCCACAGCGCCCTCTCTTCCCCCGCCCCCACCATCCCTCCCTGCCCCACCACTCGTTACCGCTCCTATTCTCTCTTGCTCCTCCGCCTCTGCACCTGCTTTGCCCCCATCACCCCCTCCTGCCTCTGCTTCCGCCCCTGCCCGGCTACCATCACCCCCCTCTGCCTCCGCGCCTCCCCTGCCACCACCGCCCCCCTCTGCCTCTGCCCCAGCACGCAGCGTGGCGCCACTGCTGCTCTCGCCTCGCTGCAGCAGCACCGACAGCGGCACCATCATCGGCCCGCCCCTCTGCGCCCTCCCTTCCCCTCCCCCCATGCCTCCACCCCCTGTCCCTGCCCCCGTAACTGCCCCTGCACCTGCGCCTGCCCCTTCCCCTGCGCCTGTGCTGGGCGGGTGCAGGTGCTGCAGCAGCAGGCGCTTGGCCTCCGCCACGCGCCTCTGGATGATGCGCCAGCACTCGCCAGGCGATGGACCCTCCACCTGCCCGGGGAGGGAAGGGGGGGGGAGGGAGGGGAGGGCGCAGGCACACCAGACAGCGGCTTAAGGGGGCAGGATGGAGGGCTTGAGGGGAGAGGCGGGGGAGGCAAGGTAGACAAGACAAAGAGTGGGAGGTGTAAGCAGAGGCGCATACCGGATCAGAGCCTTCCGGGGTGACTCGGAAGATTGGACCACCGGGCACTGGGGTGTTTCCAGCAGTCCCGGAGGCGCCAGGCGGCTGCTTCTTCTGCTGTGGCTTCTTGGCCCCCTTGGGCTGCTGCTGCTGCATGCGCTGTGGTGTCTGGCGCAGCTGTGGGCGCCGCCATGCCCCTTCCCCCGAGGGCACAAATGGCGCTGCTGCTGGCGCTGGTGCAGCAGCAGTGGGGGGCGGAGGAGGAGGGGGAGGAGGAGGAGGGGGCGCCTGGTGAAGGATCTCCATGACGTGATTCACCGCCACACGCGGGTCTGCGGGGAATTCAGGGTGTTAGAGGGGAAGAGAGGGGGAAGGGCAAGGGGAAGAGAGGAGGTTTGACAGTGTGGAAGAAAGAGGAAGGGGAAGAAGAGCGGGAGAATGGCATGATGCAGACAAAAGTGTGGGCGGTGGGGAAGGGGCGGAACGCACCTTGGGCGGAGGGGAAGGGGCGCACAGCCTTGTAGCCGACAGGGTAGATGTGCTGCGCCGTGTGGAAGCCAGGCTCGCCCGGCAGCACCCGCCCTGTGGGCACGGGGGGAAGGGGGAGGTGTGGGAGGTTTGGCGGTTGTGGGACAGGGCAGCATGAGGGCCAAGGAGACTGTGGATGGACAAGGGTATGGGTGGCTGGGTGCATGGCACGCGGGATGCGGGCAGCAATGGCAGGCACTAACTGCAAAGGTGGCTTCGCAAGGGTTGGGTTGGGTTGGGTTGGGGCACATGCATGGGAGGAGTGGGGTGAAGCTGCTCGGAGGAAGCGAATGAGAAAAAGGGGCGAGGAGGGGGGCGCACCAAGGGAGAGCAGGGTGAGGGAGCCGATGTGCAGGGGCAGGGACGGCGGGGACGTGGCAGTGGTGGCGGAGTCACCCCCCATCACCGCATCCGACCCCACTGCCTGCCCCCCACTCCTCCTCGCCTCCAAACCCTTCCCCTCCCCCTCCCCATCTGCCTCCCCACACCCCCCTGAACTCGCTCCCGCCTGCCCCACACCACGCCCATCCACCACCTTGCATGCCACCACTGCTGCCCGTCCCCCCACCTCCACCCCACTCTTGCCCGCGCCGCTGCCTGCCGCCCTCGACCCCTTGTGCCCATGCCCCTCCCCCTCCTCCACCTCTGCTGTCCCCTTCCCCTCCTTGCCACTGCTCTGGCTGCCCTCCCCGCTGCCACTCTGCCGCTCGCTGCCCTCCTCGCTCGCCCCCTCGCTGCCCTCCCCGCTGCTCCCATCGCTGCCCGACTCCTCCTCACTGCCCTCCTCGCTGCCCTCCTCCGACCCCGACCCGTGCAGGAACGCCATTTTCGCCGGCAGCTCCTCCACCAGAAGGAACCTGCCGGGGAAGGGAGGTTGGAGGGGACGGGAGTGAGGGGCACGAGAAGGCGCTGGTATGAGAGTGGGCTCGCCTGAGCAACTGCAGCTGCTGCTAGCTGTTGCAGAAAGTTCAGGTCCATTGAATGTGCAGGGCGGAGGGCGGGGGACAAGGGGTGGTTAGCAGAGGGCCAGGGGGCGGGAGGAAAGAGGCGAGAGGCGAGAGGCGCGGGGTGGGACTCAGACCTTTCGACTTCATGGAGCGCTGTTTTGAAGCAGGCGGCCTTGCTCTTGTTGTGCAGCCCCTTGGCGAGACCCAGCAGGAAGGGGCAGGCGGCAGAGGCAGCGACGATGCTGCACTCGTAGGAGCCAAAGAAGTGCACCAGCACCTCCCCCGCCCCGCCCTCCCTCACTGCCCGCAGCCCCACGCGCTCCGCCACTGTTGGGTCCAACACCATGGCCGGCCATGCTGGGTGCCCTGTGCGCATGGGACGGGGGCAGCAGCAGCAGCAGCAGCAGCAGCAGCAGCAGAACACACGAGACATGGGTCAGCACTTTGCCCCAATCTCCACCATCCCCCACCCACCCTTCCCCTCCCCTCCTCTACCCCTCCTTGCATTGCTTCTCCTCTCCATCCCTGTGTACCCAATGCAGTCCCATTCCGTCCCTCCTAACCACTAAAGTCGCATTCCGTCCCTCCTAACCACTAAAGTCGCATTCCGTCCCTCCTAACCACTAAAGTCCCATTCCGTCCCTCCTAACCACTAAAGTCGCATTCCAGCCCTCGTCTCCGTCAGTCACACACTAACCCACCTACCCACAAAATGCACAACAATTTCGCCCTAACCACTCCACTCACACAATACCCCTCCTACCCCCGTTCACGCCCCAGCCATGCTCACCCTTGACGCGAGCCCACACGAGCTCCTTGGCGCCAAATCGCCCCAGCTTCAGCTCCTCCAGTGCCCCCCCCCCTGCCCCAGCCCCTGCCCCCGCCCCTACACCCGCCCCCGTTCCCTCCGCCTTGCCCTTGGGCGCGCCCCCCTGGTCCGCGGCCCTGTGGTCTCTGGGCGCAGTGCGGGTGGAGGAGGAGAGCATGGCGGCGGCGGCCAGCACAGCAGCGCGCGCAGGGTCCATGTCGCGCGCCATGCTCGCTGCCAGCTCCGCCAGCTCGCGCCCGCCCTGCCCCCGCCCCTGCCATCCCCGCCTGCCCCTCCACCCCCTCCCCTTGCCACCCTTTGCCGCCTTCCCTCCCTCCCCAACCAACTCCACTCCCCCCTCCTCGTCCTCATCCTCCTCCCCCTCGTCCCCGCTTCGTTCGTCCTCCCCTTCCTCCTCCCTCCCCTGCTCCTCCTCTCTCTCACACCCTGGCTCGCCGCCATCCCTGCTGCCCTCCTCCTTCCCACAATCCTCCACCAGGGGGGCCATGGCACACGTAGCAGCCGCAGCAGCAGCAGCAGCAGCAGCAGGGGGGGGAGCAGAAGCAGCAGCAGGGGGAGGGGGGGTGGGGCAGAGAGCGAGGAGGGGGTCGTGGCGGGGGAGGTGCAGCTTGATGCGTTCAGCAGACATGCGCAGCCACTCGCTCTCCTTCTCGTCGTACCGCACCTGGTGCTTGCCCGTGCGCGCGTCATACGCGTACACCAGCCCCGCGTACCACCGCTCGTCCAGCGGCCAGTACACCTGTTGGGCACCCCACACACGCATGGGCGAGACCGGGCAGGGCAGCATGGTGTGGCGTGGGGATACAAATGTGGCAGCCTGCTGCTGTGCAGGGGCGGGGAAGATGAGGCAATAGGCAGGTAGGAGGGCATCTAACGGTGGTCATACCCTGCACAGTCGGCCGATGAGAGCCCTTGGATCCACTCCAGCCAATGGCAGCCTGCAGCACGGGTCAGAGTGAGCAGAAGCAGGCAGACGTGAGTCATTCGAGACAAGTCAAGTCGGATGAAGAGCGGAGGACAAGGAGATGCAAGGCGGTGAGAGGCGGTGGGCATTACTCCATCCACTGAGGGCGCTGCAGGTTGGCCATGAGCCGGTCCACGTAGCTCTCTATCAGCCGCCGCCGCTTTGGCGTCAGCCGGCTCTTCTCACTCTGCCCTGCTGCTGCTGCTGCTGCTGCTGCCCCTCCTTCCGCTTCATCCCGCACCTGCTGCTCCCCCTTCTTGTCCAGCCGTGCATGGGCAGCAGCCTTGGCAGCGGCAGGTGCAGCGGCATGAGTCACGACCACCCGTTTCACAGGCACACCCTCGCTCTCACCTGCCTCGCACTTCACCTGTACCCGCGCTGCTGCCACTGCAGGTACAGTCGTTGCAGGGGCAAGGTGGGGAAGAGGAGGAAGAGGAGGGCGGGGGGCGGCAGCAGGCGGAGCGGGGAGAGAGGGGGCATCGGGGAAGAGGCGGCGCTTGCTGCAAGCGAGGTCGTCCTCCTCGGGATCATCCACCAGCATGGCCGCCGCCCCTCCTCCCTCACTCCCACTCCCTCTTATTGCTCTGCCCTCCCCCTCCATTAATACGCCATCCTCACTCCCTGATCGCTCCGCCTTCACCGTCACCTCATCTTCTCTCTTCACACCACCGCTGCTGCCAACCTTCTTCTCTCTGCTGCCGACGCTCGCCTTGCCTGTGTCTCCCCCAGCATCGTCACTTCCTTCTGCCTTGGCCACCAAAGCAGCCTCGTGCACTTTCATTTCAGCCTCGTCCGAGCCCAAGTCTTTCAGAGCGCTTTCCCTCACTACAACCTTCTTCTCGTCCTCTGTCGTGACTCCTCTGGTCCCACTGTCTCCTGTCTCCCCACCCATCTGCTCGTGCGTATCCATCACCTCCCCACAAACGCCCTCAGCCTTCTCAGCCACCACCCCTTGACTCGCCTGCACCCCTCCCACGCCCCCCTCCAACCCGCCCTTCTCGTCCCCCTCCCCCTTGCCCTCGCTCCTCTGCTGCCCGCCCGCCCCTGGTATTTCCCAAGGGCTGCCCGCTTCGCACGGGCTGCCAGCCTCGCCCGCGGGTTTGGGTGCGCCTGAACCGGTATGGGCAAGGGAAGGGGAGTCGGGCAAGGGAGCAAGGGGGGACAAGGCGGGCAGGGAAGTGGAGGCTTGCCCACATGAGCCTGGCCCCTGGGGAATGACCCCATTCGGCCCTGGCATGGTAGCCGCGACCTTCGCACCCCCATCCTTCCCACTGCCGTCCGTGCCACCGCTCTCCTTGTCCCCACCATCGGCGTCCCTCCCCTTGTCCCCACTCTCCTTGTCTCCGCCCACTTCGCCTCCAGCGCGTGTGTCAACAGCGTCCCCCTCACACCTCTGCACCACAGCAGCTGCCTCCCCTTCCCCTGACGCGCGGAAGCAGATGGTGCAGTCAGAGCCGCACCCCAGCGAGTCCCCGTCCGCGCGCTCGTGGCTCGAGTCGTGCGGGCTGCCTGTCTGCCCCGCCACGGGACTCCCCGCAAGCACCGCCACGGCCGCTACCTCCGCGCCCCCTCCCGCTTCCACCACGCACACAGCAGGGCGAAGGGACGCTGGCTCTTCAGAGCTCTCAAAGGCCACCGGCGGGTGCAGAAGCCGCGCGGGTGGCTGCGCGCGGGGGGGCACGCGGTGCAGCGCCACCGCCACCTCGCCCGCCACCTCGACCTCCAGTACCGCGGGACCAGCGGGATCAACGGCCTCCATCCACTCCCCGTTTGCCTGCCGACCATCGCACGCCTGTGCGCATGCCTGTGGGTCCGCCTGTCCCTGCGTCTGAGGCTCTTGCGCGCACAAGCCAGACGCAGAAGGCGCGTCTCTACTGCCGGCTTCCCTCTCTCCGCTGCTCCACTCCGCCTTTGCGTCCGCGCCAGCCGTGCTCACCGTGCTTCCCGCGCTCTGTTCCCCGCCGGGCGGAGCAGCGGAGCTAACCCTAACGGCATTGGTGGGCAGCGAGGCGAGCGGGTGCGTGGCGGGCGGCAAGGAGCTCATGCGGCGCCGCTTGTACACGCTCAGCCCCTCCTCCGCGGACTGGCGCCGTTTGTCGCACGCCGAGGCGCCATGCGGCTGCTCGACGTCCGAAGCGGCACTTTGAGTGACAGCTGTCACGGGGAACATTGTGGATACGGGCGGCTCGTTGCCGGCCAAGAGACGGCCGCCCAAAAGTCCACTGCTTTCGCTACTTCCAGACGTGCGCATGCGCCGGCTGCGCAGCGTGATGTGGTTCTTGTCGCTCGACGACGCCTTGCGACTGTCGCCCGAGATCCCATCCTCCATGTTGTCCCGGCCTGTCCGTCCCGCCGTCTGCTTCGTCTTTGCCGCCGCTGCCGACCCGTTGGCCCGTTGTTCTTCCCTTTTCGCCAGCATCCCCTTGATGTTGCACTGCACGTACCGCCATTTTGGCGCCGCGACAACTGTGCAGTCAGTATCTGCTGCCCTCTGCGGGTCCGCCTTCTTCCGCATCCTCGCGAATAGGATCACGCACCACTGTACGTCGGACTTCAATAACGAAAGTTAAGGACTTAGCCTGGAAAGATGCGCAGGCTGTTGAAATGAGTCCAGAGAGCCATGGAGAGAGTACTGGGTGGTGAGTGAAGTCGAGAATGAGGGTTGGGTGGCGAAAGAGGAGGATATTCGAGAGGGGTGGGTGAATTGATGGGGGTGGGGGGCGAGGTGCGATGGAAGAACGAGGTGAGGGGAGTTCCGTGGCCGAACCCCGTTTGGATTTTGATTCAAGGGTTCAAATTGACGGAATTCGGTAAGAGCAGACAAAACCAAGAGGCCAACAATTAGCATTTCGTACAGTGGTGTCTGACACCATACAAATGTTGCTGCAATGAATGAGCCCATCATCAAACCCACGCACATGCTTCAGATAGGGATGAATTAATTAGTCTAAAGTTCACTTTTTAGATTTTAACGTAGAAGTACCCTGAATTTCTATATGCATAGTAAAGTTTCTCTTATACGCGTCATATATTATATGAAGGGCTTCAGGAATAATTTTACTGCAATTATTGATTTCATTTACTACTAGTTCTCTAAAATGGATTAGTTCACGTAATGCTGGGCTGGTAAAGGCCGTAATGCTTGGCGTGTTTGTACATATGAGCTGATAAGGAAGCAGCTCGTATTCGACGACTCCGAAGTAGTCATTTTCACGCACCAATTCTCAACCGCTCTGCAGCCCCCATCGAACCGCTAGTTTCAATGTCCGCGTACCTGTCAGCTGACGTAGGACCGTCACATGCGCGCCTCAATTTCTCCGCGCCACGCGACCCAGCGCTCCCTCGATGACCTCCCCGTTCATCTTCCTTGACGCCCCGCGCGAGCAGCTGAAGCGAGTCGAATGGTGGACTCAGCAGGAAGGCAGGGTGGCCCGTGCCAACGGAGCCACCCAACAGTTCCGCGAAGGGACGCGCTGGAAAGGAGCGTGTTTCCGACCGCGCGTTGCGTGTCGGCGTGGACAAGAAGAGAACCAGAGTCGACCTTATTTTACTCATCGGATTCGACCCTTTCCAGGAGTTTAAAGCTTCATCGCCTTCTCTGTTCCGCACGACAGGAAGGTTACTCGTTGGCTTCTGCTTTTCGCCAGGAACGTTAACTCGAAACGCTTAGTTCGTTCCGTATTCTGTTCTAACGATGGGTCGCTCCAAGTCGTTAGCGATGCTGTCTGTGCTGCTGGCGCTCGTCGCCCTCTCTATGGCGCCCGTGCGCGCTCAGCCGCGCGCGCCCCCTACGCCAACCCCAGCGAGCCCGTCGCCCGCACCGGCGTCCAGCCCTTCCCCCGCGCCAGCGTCCGCGCCCACGCCAGCGTCCGCACCCACACCGGCATCAGCGCCGTCCCCGGCCCCCGTGCCCGCTCCCGGCCCCGCTCCCACTCCGGCCCCTGTCCCCGCGCCTGCGCCTGCACCCGTCCCGGCATCACCACCGCCTCCCGTTGTTCCCCCGCCGCCCCCTAAGGCCGCGTCCACAGGTATTTGCGCAGAGCAGTTCGGGAGGGTCCACGTATCCTGTAGCAAAGCCTGATGTGAAGTCGTTTGTCGTTGCTGACGCGTTTCCATGTTTCTGATTCCGCCGTTTTGGCGTTGCCTGTGTTTGCCGCGATCCCTGTGGCGTGTGTTGCAGGTGCAACGATGCTCGCATCGCTGCTGTTCGTCGCGCCTCTCGTTGCGCTCGTCGTGTAAACTGAACGGAGGCCCGCTGTGAGGCTGTCAGTTGGAAGGCCGCGGGGTTTCTCCATCTTCGAAATAGTGATCAGGAGTGTGTGAAGCCGAAGCCGTGATGAGCATGCATGTATAGGAACAGCTTAGGAACCCATACGAGTTGACCCATTGGTTACTTAGTACGGTAGTTAGGACACTTATATGCCTTCAAAACCTTCAAAACTTCTAACACTTGTTGGACGCAATGAACAAATGGAATACCTAGAAAGAGACTCAAACTGCTACCTCCTAATCTACTACCTAGCCTACCGTACACTACGTACACACCCATTGAATGCAGTCCAGCACACACTAAGCACACTTTGAACACACACCACGCAAGCACACACAATGACTCCCACAAGACAACGCAACACAACACAGCACCTGCAACACATCATCAAGCCATTCGCCTGTCGCCATTCAGCAAGAGGGGACGGGTGGGTGCATCAGCTTAGCTGTTGAGGGAGGCGACATAGTTGTGGAAGTTGGACTGCTGCTTGGCGCTGTCCAGCGACCGGAAGCGCATGAGCCCCGTGCTGCGCCGCCTGCTGCTGCCGCGCGTGCTGCTGCCCTCCTCCCCAAACTTGCGAAACAGAACCTGCCCCTCCGCCCACTGCCCCGGCAACTCCTGCTGTGGTTGCTGCTGCTGCTGCTGTTGCTGATGCTGATGATACTGCTGCTGCTGCTGGTACTGCTGGTACGGCTGCTGCTGCCCATGAAAGCCTTCCAAGGGACTGCTACTCAGCTCAGCCCCTCCCCGCTCGCGTCTGTTCTCCCACACTTCTGCCGCTTCGCCAACCCCACCTCCCAGCCTGCCTGCTCCGCCTCCATCCCTGTGGGGGCCCTGAGATGCGCTGCTGATTGTGGGCCTGAATTGTGGGGGCGTTCCTATCGGTGACAAGAACCCAGAGGTTGGTGGTGATTTGGGCACTGCTGATAGCGGCATCGCCACTAATGCTGGCGCCGCTGCTGATGCTGCTGCTGCTGCTGATGCTGCTGATGCTGCTGATGCTGCTGATACTGCTGCTGCTGCTGATGCTGCTGATACTGCTGCTGCTGCTGATGCTGCTGATACTGCTGCTGCTGCTGCTGCTGCTGCTGCTGCTGCTGGGGCTGGTGGTGGTGCTGCTCTTGCTGCTGCTCTTGCTGATAATGAGGGTGCTAACGATCGCCCAAACGCGGGTGCAACAAGTGGTGCCGACGAAGGCGATAATGGTGGAGGGAACGACAGCCCTGATGACGGTGCTGCCGATGTTGCTGCCGACGAGGCTGCCAGTGCTGGGGGCGAGAGCAGTGGTGGGGTGGCAGAGGAGGAGTGCAGGGGGGGCAGGGACTGGAACATGGACCCGGACGGCAGTGACGACTGGCTTCTCAGTGACCCTCGGCTGGGCGGAGGCAGGTCCCATGAAGGTGCAGTGCGTGACTCGGCCTGTCCCGTCCCATCCCAAACAGCCCACACACCGCCCCGTTCATCCACGTCACCCGCCCGTCCCCCCCCACCGTCATCAGCCCGTCCCGCGCCACCTGGCACGTGCAGCAGGAGGGGGGAAGGGTGGTTAAGGGTGGAAGACGGAGGGATTCGGGAAGGGAAGGGGTTCGGGTGGTTATGAGCAGGTGGAAGGTGGTAGATGAAGAGGGAGAGGAGCGGGCGTGGCACGAAGACGAGCATGCGGGGAGAAACAATAAAGGATGGGGGAAGATGGAAAGACGTGTTACTGGGAAGGGAGTGAGAGAACGCCATGAGCACAAGGAAGAGACGAGAACGAGCGGGTAGAGGCGGGGGAGGAGGGGTGAGAGGGGGAACCTGGAGGACGGAGAGCAGGCGCAGCTCAGCATCGCGCTTGCGCTTCCTCTCTTGCACGGCCTGCAGCATGACGGCCACACTGGCTGTCAGCGGCTCCAGCTCCTGCAGCAACGCGCGGCTGTACCCGCCCGCCCTGTTGGCCAGCGCGTACATGCCGATCATCTCGGAACCTGCAGGGAGAGGCGCGGATGGTGGCATGCGGCATTCATCCCATCAGTCGCGGGACAGTGCTCGTGGTGCACGCCCAGGGCATGGCAGTCAAAGTGAGGCATCGATTTATCAACGAGTGTGTGGGACAGAGGGAGAGGCACTGACCGACGATGAGGGGCACGCCAAGGAAGGCGGAGAGTGGCGGGTGGCCCGGGGGCACGCCGCCAGAGCGGGGATCGAGGGCGGGGCGGTTGGAGATGACGGGCGCGGAGGAGAGCAGTGTGGCGCCCAGCAGGTTGGACGTGTTGGTGAACACGAGCCCGCGGTGCGAGTTGTCCCGGTACCATGCCTGCAGCTCCTCCGTCCATGCTATGTTCGATGCTGCATGCGACTGCCGTGCCGTGGCGGGCCGTGCCATGCCATGCCATGCCACGCCATGCCACCGACCGACACATGGGTCCACATAGGCAGTGGGCAGGGTTAAACGACATGCCATGCCATGCCAGCACCACACACCACACACCACAAAGCACAGCACACCATGGGAGGAAGGGTCTTACTTTGCAGCAAAGGGGTTGCACTGCATCACAGCAAAGGGGTTGCACTGCATCACAGCAAAGGGGTTGCACTGCATCACAGCAAAGGGGTTGCACTGCATCACAGCAAAGGGGTTGCACTGCATCACAGCAAAGGGGTTGCACTGCATCACAGCAAAGGGGTTGCACTGCATCACAGCAAAGGGGTTGCACTGCATCACAGCAAAGGGGTTGCACTGCATCACAGCAAAGGGGTTGCACTGCATCACAGCAAAGGGGTTGCACTGCATCACAGCAAAGGGGTTGCACTGCATCACTTTCAACGGTGCTAGGCAGGTGGGGAAGGGGATGCACGGGACGGGGGAGGGAAGGGGCGAGAATAGGCGCGTGTTTGCACCTTGAGGTAGGGAGCGCCGTTGGCCTGGAAGAGCACGGAGCCGATGAGCCCGAACTTGGACGATGTCATGTCCAGCAGCGCGCCCAGCAGATGCTCAAACACCCTCCCCGCCCCCGCTGACTGCTCGCCCGTGCCACAGCCGCGCGGGTCGGGGGAGGGAGGGGGGAGAGAGAGAGGAGGGAGGGGGAAGAGGCAAAAGCAGCAGGTTGGTTGGTTAGCAGACAGTGGGTGGTGGACATGAGGGGGCGTGTAGGATGGGATGGGCATGGGCATGGCGAGCAGCAGTGGGCTGTGAGTCACCTGGTCGGACTGCAGCAGCATCTGAGCCGTCGTGATGGCTCTCAGCATCTTGCCATCCATTGACACCTCCCCCCGCCCCGCCTCCTCCCTCTCCGCTTCCCCCCTGCCCGCCTCCAGGCCCGCGCTCCCTCCACTGCTTCTCCCCGGACTCCCCTTACTTCCTTCCCCCCGCTCGCCCCCCTGGCCCGCCCAAGCGCCTCCGCCCGCCCGCGCGCCGTCGGACTCTACGTGCGCCACCGTCTCGTAGCTGCGCGACCGTGGCATGGGGCGCCGTCCGCTGCCGCCCTCCCGTGCTGCTGCTGTTGCTGCTGCCGCTGCCGCAGCCGCGCCCATCCCCATGGGGCAGCCTGAAATGGTCCCCGCAAGCGCCTGGCCTTGCTGGCTGCTGCCGCTGCTGTGCGCACTCCGCCCCCCCTCACTCCCGTACTCGCCTTGCCCCGCCCCGAACGGGCTCTGCTCCCCCGCATGCACACTCACGCTCCGCCCCACCTGCCCCAAGCTCTTCTTCCGCCCTCGCCGTCTCCGCCCGCCCAGCCCACTCCCCCCCTAGTCGCCCTCTGCGCCACCCTTTCCGCCTTCCGCGCCCTCCCCCTCCTCTGCCGTCGCCGCCAACAGCTCAATCTCCCCCAGCCCCCCGACGGCGGCACCCCCATCCGCTCCCCCGTCCCTGCTTCCCCCTACGAGGTCCCCGCTCACTGCCATCATTTCCGCCAGCTGCGCCGCATCCGACCGCGCGCGCCTCAGGCCCCCGAGCCCGCCTAGCGCGCCCTTCAACCTCCCGGACAAGCCCCTGTGGAGGCTCGTGCCCCCAGCTGCTGACGTGGCTGACAGCGATGCTGACGCGGGTAATGGAGGCGGCGGGGTGGACGACGGAACACCAGAGGCCGGGGCGCGGGAAGCGGAGTGGGTGCGCGGGATGGAAAAGCCCAGCGCGAACCGCTGCGCGCCTAGGGGCGGGCGGACATCTCCCGCGTCGCCTGCGGAACTGGACAGCGCCGCCTTGAGCGGCCCCGAGGCGGGCTTGTCCGCGGAGCGAACGGGCGAGCGGGAAGGCGGGATAGCTCCTGCGCTCTCTGCTGACGTGGTAGCAGAGTCGTTACTGGCTGCACGCGTGCGCGCGACGGGGTTGAGCGGAATGGATCCCGACGAGGAGGACTGCGCGGGGCGGAGGTCGTGCGCGGGGGACGCGAAGGCAGCGGCGGCGGCGGAGAGCAGGGAGGAGGTCATTGCGGCGGTGGCGGTGACAGTGCGCCGCAACGGCGGCGGCCGCATGCCTCCCCCGCCCGCCCCACTCAACCCGCCGCCAGCGATTGCAGCGCCGCCACCGCTCCCTCCGCTGGCGGCTGCAGCGGCGGAGAGGGAAGCGAGCGCGAGCGCGTCTGTGTTGCGGCTGCTGCCGCCCTTGCGCCCCCACAGCTTGTATCCCGACCGCGATTCCGCTGCCTCCCCCACTGCCATCCTCACTCCCCCGCCCGCGTCCTCATCTGCGCATTCCGCCAGCCCGCCATCGGCTTCCCCCTGGTCTATAGCGCCCTGCGCGTTCTCCTCGAGCGCGCGGGAAATTGAGCCCGCGGAGTGCGGGGTGAAGTGCGCCTTCCCGTGGGCCTCCGCGCTGCCGAACGAGCGCGGACGAGCGTCCAGGTTTGTCCCGAACGTGGGGGACAGGGGCGGGAGGGCCGAAGCATTGGCGGGAGACAGGCGGTTACTGCCCACTGGCGGACGCCGGGGGGGAACTGGCGGCGTCGCGGAGGGAGTGGGGGAAATCAGAGGGCTGAGCGGAGCAGGCGGAGCGGGGAAAGACAAGGAGGAAGCGGGCGCGATGGGCGCGAGAGACGCAGAGGACGGCTCGTGCATGCCTAGGGCTTCAAAGATGGCTCTCAGGCGATGCCGTCGCGTCCAGTCCTCCCGCTCGTTGCCGCACTTGGAGCATCTGCAGGCCGGAACGACGGGAGGGAACGAGGAAGAACGATGTGCTAAGATACATAAATGAGGTGGAAGACTGACACGGACTAGCGTGTCAAGGCCGCTCCTTGCCATTCTCTCGCTCCTAAACCAGCACGAAAAGTAAAGAATTTTAGGCCTTTTACGAGGAGCAGCGCACGTGTCAGAGAGCTTACCGCCGAGCGCAGGTCATCCAGTCGCTTACCGCCAGGCGGAGGTCATCCAGTCGCGGAACTCGAGCAGCTCCGCCTCCGACAGCCCCTCCACCGCCTCCAGCACCGACATTCCGCACATCTCCGACATTCCACGCGCGCTCTCATCCCCCGCCGACCTCTCTCCCCCGATCAACCCACCGCTTGCGGAAAAAGGATCCTCCGCTGCAACTGCTGCGGACGACCTGGAACTTTCATTCAACGAGTCTGGCTGGTTGCCGGCAGTCGCTGCGCCCTGCAGTACGTGCTGCCGCACCGCCTTGGACACATTGTTTCCTGATTCCGCCAACTGACGCGACGTCAGTGGATGACGGCGGGATGCAGATTGCTGCTGACCCATGGCTGCTATTAGGGCTAACAAAGTTGCCTACAATATAAACGCGGACGATCTTAAAGAATCAAATTCTATGCTTGATTCACATGGCTTTTTCCCTTCACGTCGAGCTCTGAAACAAGGTGGAAGAGTTACAACCTAAAACCTCCTTGGGATGTCAGATACGGTCGAAATGCGCGCCCTATTTGACGCATATTGAGGATCGACGCAACCTGAGCAAGAGGACGAAGATGACAAGGTACTGAACCATGCAAGGCTCTGGTTTTCCATTACGGCAAACCACATCCATAGGTGGCTCACCTCCGTACGGAAGAGCAAGCCAGGAAGGTTTGGATGAAACGCACGACATGGGATTCGGCAGCGGGGATATGCAGGAGAGGGGAGGCAGGAGGGGGAGACGAAGGGGAAGAAGTGGAGCTGGGGTGGGGGGATGGGGAGCTTGTTTGATGACGCCGCTGGTCGACCAAAGGGGGTGTTCGTCTTTCTCATCAGCAGTGGTGGGTTGGCCTGCTGAATTTGGACGAGCAGCAGCAGCTCTTAACCTTTTTAAATCGTAACGCACCTTTTGAAAACGTTCATTGATTTGCAAATAATTGTATTGTAATTTTTTTATATAGGAAGGCATGCAGACTTGTGAGAGATTCTTTCATCTATGTGTGGAGCTGTATACTCGAAATAGCCGTGTTCCTGGAACGCGAACGTGTGACTGTAACGCAGCTTCCACACAAGAGAAGGTGTTTGGCTGCCACAAAAATTATTCCCGTAATTCCGCACGCAAATCTTGGCCTTCTGCGCCACGCTTGCAAGCCTACTTTTCCGCCACCGCGGCAAAATGTGAGTGGTGCTGGTGGAAGTTGTGGCTGTCGCAGTGTCGGAATGCTTTCTCTCTGGCCGTCGGATCATGTCAGGTCATTCCAGGTAAAATCGCTGGGGAGGCACCCATGAGGATTTCCGTTGGCTGGGCGAACCAATCACTTGGCCGTTCTAGGATTATGGGATGTGGGGGGAGAGAGAGAAGGGGGGGAGCACTTGGTGATGACAGTGGGTTTGAGATAGGCCATTCTTTCGCAGCCCGGAGTTTCGCGGCTCATCTTATGTGTCCAGTGTTAGGGTTCACGGTACTGTATTCCCTGTCTAAGGTTGCGGTACATTTGGCTTGAATTCGATGTTTCAGGCTCGAGATTTGTGTAAAAAAAAGTAGTGTTACCCGATTTTTTTTTCCGAGTTTTGGAGGCTCAGCTTTGTGAATTCGGGAACCCAAATGAGCTCGACGCGCTTTGCGGAGTGAGAAAAATCATGTCTAGTAACTCCACGGGATTTCGTCGAGCGTCCAAGCTGTGCGAACCGGATGAAATACAGTTGAGCGAAACTAAGCATTTGTATGAAATCCACTTTCGCAACGTGCATTTGCGAAATCATTGACACGCCACCTCTTCACCAGCAGGGCCAGGCTCGATATTTCACGAGATTCTGTAATGTACCACGTCCTAAAATAGACTCCAGACTAGCCCTATCCCTAATCTCAAGTTTCCGCTCAGAACCTGAAAATCTTGTACGCTACATATCTTTTTACCCAGCACCCGTACAATCGCTACCATCGTCAGCCTACGCAAGTATTATTACCCCACGCAAGGATTGTGGAAAACGGATAGGTCATGGTTGGAGCAGTAATAGGAGTTACAAATCATCAAAGAGAATCTATGGCGTGGAAGAGCAGGGAGGCAGATTTCCATCAAAAAGCATATTATGGGAAGACCCAGAAGCTCGCGGGTGGACCTAGATATCAGAAGAGGCACGACTCCGAGCGAGTAGCAGCTCATAGCTCACACAATTTTCAGGCAGCCGTGACGTCGAATAGCATAGAACCCGCTAGAATAGCAAGTCAAAATCTGGGGAGTTTTATTTCTAATGTGACTCCGCGAGTAAAGCTTCAATATATCAACAAGGTATGTTCACTACAGCCTGTTGGTTTTTCTTTTCACGACGTCTTCATCCACATTCTCCCTGACTATATTGCTACGTTTTTTAGGAATCGGAACGGTTTCCACGCCCGCCGAGGCACGAAACTTCAACTGGTTGCGCGTTTTACACTTTGGGAGATCTGTGGGATTCTTTGGAGGAGTGGAGTGTGTTTGGGGCTGGAGTTCCTATTCAACTCGCTAATGGCACACGTGCAACTCAATACTACGTGCCTTCCGTTTCCGGTTTGCAACTATATGCTCGAAGCAGCTCCTGGCAGTTGCCTGAGTCAAGGTATGTAAGTTTAACGAGCTTGATGGAATTCATTATTTTCTTGTTTTATTCGTGTGTCAGCTCATCCGCGCTCAATCTTTGCTCTGCAGGAACAGTGGCCCCGAGAGTGACTGCAGTGATGTGAGCTTTCATGATTCCAGTAGTGACAGCAGCGAGAGCAGTGATAGGAACGACGGTCGGGCAGGTGATTGCATAGCAAAAGCAGTCGAGGGCTGTATGAGGGAAGAGCTTCTCTCAGGATTGGATGCTCAAAACTCCGTCGACGAGTGTACCGCTGTGTCGTGGGATGCCTGTCAAGACTGTAATGGGGGTCGATTGTTGTTGGAGTTTTTTGAAATGGCACCTCCTCATGTGCGGTTGCCACTCTTCTCAAAGGTAGGGTTTGTTACTTGCTGTTCTGGCTTGCTAGAGTATGGTTGTGTGTTCCATTGTTTAAGCCCTCCACTGGCATTGGTTGCAGGTGGAAGAGCTGGAAGGGGAGTTTCCCTGTCTCAGGCACCTTCGCAGCATTGATTTGCACCCACGAAGCTGGATGGCCATTGCATGGTAAGGATGCTTGTTTTTTTTGGGATCTATCTTTGACTATTGTTTGTTGGAAGGCAATAATGTTATTGTTCTGCTTTTTACGAGCTCATTGCTGTGTGTAGGTATCCAGTGTACAAGATTCCAGCGGGGCCCAGTGTTCGTGATCTTGGGGCATCGTTCTTGACGTTTCACAGTCTCTCTTCACCACGCCCATCAGGTGAGCCTTGTGTTGCAATTCATCAGCCTGTCATGAAGGCGTATTAGCTGCAAACATCCTCAGATACAATGCCACCTACTCTGCCCCCCTCCTACTCCGCTCCCCCCTGCTCTGTCCCCCCTTGCTCTACCTCCCCCCCCCCCCTGCTCTGCCCTCTCCTGACCTCCCGTGCTCTGCCCTCCCCTGCTCTGCCCTCCCCTGCTCTGCCCTTCCTTGCTATGCCCTCCCCTTCTCTGCCCTCCACTTCTCTGCCCGCCCCTTCTCAGCCCTCTCCTTCTCTGCCCTCCCATGCTCTGCCCTTCCCTGCTCTGCCCTTCCCTGCTCTGCCCTCCCCTGCTCTGCCCTCCCCTGCTCTGCCCTCCCCTGCTCTGCCCTCCCGTGATCTGCCCTTCCCTGCTCTGTCCTCGCTCTGGAAGATCAGAGTTTTTCTGAAAATTCAGAAAACTTGCCCTGAGTGCTTAGGGTGTCGAAATTCTTAACAAAGGCCCCAAAATCCTATCTTCTTGACATGCATTGCAGGTTCTTGTGTTCGCTGCAACGATGAATATTGGATATCCCCCATGAAGCTTCCCCAGTCGTGCATGTTCTCTCCTCCACCAAGCTCGCCTGAAGAAGAGCATGATGCTGTGCACTGGGGTGGTGATTTCCTTTCAAGGATTTCCACCACAGCTTTGGCCCCATTTGGATTCACTGGTTACAAGGCCAGTGGGAGCCTGTGGTCAGATAGGTGGTGCATACAGGGCCTTGAGGCAGCAGCGGAGCAGTGGCTGCGGCATATCAATGCCAACTTACCAGACCATTCCTTCTTCACCATGCAGCAGTACACAGGGCGCTAAGCTTCTACAGGTTCTTTGGCGTCTGCTTTCTAACATGATAAGGGCTCCAATCAAGGGCTCCAGTCGAGGTGTTGCGGCTTGTTATACATCTGGCTGTCAGGTTAGTTGGTGCCAGATCAATTTTGGTTCTAATGCTAGTAGATAGGGTAGTTACAGGTGCGTAGTGTTGTCTGCGTATATGTTTTGGTTAAGACCATTAACCCATCAACTGATCGTATCTTTGTTGACTATTGTATTGCATGCCTATTGTGGATTTTTTAGTAGATGAATAGTTGCATTATGTCACATGCCCAATAGTAATTCACATGTACTGATTCGTATTTCCTGTTACGAGGCCTTCTCACCACAATACACAGCTTGCTCTAGAAATAAGGGCGAGACAACCTTCGCCGCATCCCAAGCGAGTGAATGAACATATGCAGATTCCGAAGCAGCTACTAACAGCTGCGTTTCCAGCAACTTCCCTGCTGAATTCCCATTGCGCCAGCCCACCCCCCCACATCCACCATCACTTACACTCAATCCGCATTTTCATTTTCAATGCTTTCCTCACACGTATCACCACCATAACTCTATCCTTTGACTAGTCATTCTGTTTAGAATCTGTCGCCATGTCCATGCCGTCGCATTTAGCGGCGTCGCTTCGCTGCTTGCACGCCGCTCCTTCCGCTCCCCACCTCCCTTCCCTCCCCTCTCTTGCTTCTTCCGCATTTCCACGTCACTCAGTGTTTCCCTTAGTGCATCCCCGCAATGCACGCCGCAACCCGCGCTTCTCGTCTAGGCGCCAATCCGCGCGGGTCGTGCGCGCGAGGGCGAGCGGGGCGCTTCCAGCCGACGTGGACGCGATAATAGCGAGGGGGCGGGAGGCGGGCGCGTTTGTGGAACACAGCGCGTGCGTGGTGCCGGGCGCCACTGACGGCCCGTTGCGTGGGCTGACGTTTGCCGTCAAGGACATGTACGACGTGCGTGGGGGGGCAAGGGGAAGGTGGGGGGCAATGGTGAGACAGATCGACGTGCGAGACGTGCAATGGGCGGCATGGGGATGGTGGCGCGTGTCTAGGCATGCAATGCTGCGGCGAAGCGGCTTGAGAGAATGAATCGCCGTGCCTGCCTCCCGCTTCTCACAGCGCTCATCACTCCCCTCGCCCCACTCTCTGCTCTCTGCTGTGGATGCGTGCACGCGTGCGTGCAGGTGGCGGGCGTGCCAACGGGCTTCGGCAACCCCACGTGGCTCGCCACGCATGACGTCCCGCAGGCCACCGCCCCCGTCGTGCAGGTGCATGTGCATGTGCATGTGCATGTGCATTTCCATGCCTCATTCCTTCCTTTCCTGCATGCATCCACCCCTCATCTCACCTCCTCTCAAACCCATCCCCTTTCTACCACACATAACTCACCATCCAATTCCTTGCACTGCTCTGCACCCCTCACAACCATTCCCCCACCACCCAGGCGCTGATAGAAGCGGGCGCCAGCGTGGTGGGCAAGGCGGCCATGGACGAGCTGGCATTCTCGCTGGCGGGGGAGAACGCGCACTACGGCACACCCCTCAACCCAAAAGCTCCTCTCCGCATCCCCGGCGGCTCCTCCTCCGGCTCTGCTGCTGCGGTGGGTGGCGTTTCGTGTCCCCAGTACCTTCCCTCTGCTGCCATTCCTCTTTCCCTGTTGCTGTTTCTGCCTGTTATTCTTTGTCCTTCTACCATAGTCTCCACCCTCCTGCACTGCTCCCCACCCAATGCGGCGCACCACGCTCTCTACCATCACAGGTGGCAGCCGGCCTAGTGGACTTTGCTCTAGGCAGTGACACAGCGGGGTCGGTGCGCATACCGGCCAACCACTGCGGGGTGTGGGGCATCCGCTCCTCCCACGCCCGCCTGCCCCTCACAGGCGCGCAGCCGCTGCAGCCGTCCATGGACGCCGGTGAGAGGGGCAGCGTGCATGTGGGTAACTGGGGCAATTGCTCCAGGTGCCGTGCCCACGTGGGTCTGTGTTGTGTCTGTGTATAAGTCTCGACTATGTGTGGATGTGTGTGGGGTATGGGGCATCCGCTCCTCCCATGCCCGCCCACCGCTCACTGGCGCTCGGCCACTGCAGCCGTCCATGGGCGCCGGTGAGAGGAGTGGATGCTTGCTGCATAAGGTACGCCCATGCGGGTGTGTGTATGAGTGTGTGACTGACTTTGTATGAACGTCTGTGTGAAATGATGACGCACTGGCCCTCAGCCCCTGCAGCCGTCCATGGGCGCCAGTGAGAGGGGCAGCGTGCATGGGATGTGGGTGGGAAGAGCGGTTGCTTCAAGTGCCGCGCTTATGTGTGTCTGTGTATGACCATGTGTGTCTGTGTATGACCATGTGTGTCTGTGTATGACCATGTGTGTCTGTGTATGACCATGTGTGAAACCTAGTTACACACTCGCTCTTGCACATCCTCCCTTCCCCGCCCTCTTCATCCCCACATTCCCTCTGACCCCCTCTGCTTCTCTCCCCCCTCACCACACCACAGTGGGCTGGTTTTCTCGCGATGCCACTGTTCTCCAACAGGTTGGCTCCACGCTCTTCCACAGCCCCTCCCTCGCCCCCTCCTCCTCTTCCTCTTCCTCCACCTCATCCGCCTCCTCCTCCCTCCGCCCCTTCACCGGCTGGCTGGTGGCGGAGGACGCGTTTGAGCTAGCAGACAAAGATGCCGCCCGCGCAATCTACGACAAGATCGCACCACATATAGACGAGATCGCAGCAGTGGTGGGCGGGCGGCCACAGGAGATGCGGGTGGCGGGGGATGAGGGCAGCGAGGTGGGGGGCGTGCACGAGTGGGTGGAGGCCATGCGCGTGTTGCAGGTGAGGCGTGGGGTGGTGCAACGAGGTGCAGGTGGGTGATGATGGTGGTGCAGATGAGCAGGATGCAGCAGCGATTTTTTAGGCAAGGGGGGTGTTGCAGTGCAGGTGGACCCAGGTGCGGCATGGCCCATCCTCACACGTATGCCCCTCCGCCTTCCCCCCCTCGCCCCTTCCCCCCCTCGCCCCTTCCCCCACTTCCCATTCTCCCCCCCACCAGCTGGTGGACGCATGGCAGGGCTACGCTACGGGCAGTGGATCACAGCTCACCAACACCCCGCCTTCTGTGGCGTCCCAAAACTCAACCTCCCTTCTTCTCGCATGTTCCTCTTCTCTCCTCTTTTCTTCCCCCCCCCACATCCCCACAGCTGGTGGACACATGGCAGTGCTACAGGCAGTGGATCACGGCTCACCACCCCGCCGTCCGAGACGTCCCAAAACTCAAACTCCCTCCTCTCACGCTCCACTCCTCATCCCCTTGTTCTCCCCCAATCCCCCCAGTTAATGGAGGCGTGGCAGTGCCACGGGCAGTGGGTCACGGCGCACCGCCCTGCCTTTGGCCCCGGAGTGGCGCAGCGCTTCCAGGCTGCCAACGCTGTGGACCCTCAGGGGGAGGCGGTGGCGCACGCACAGGAGAAGCGAGCCAGGTTCACATCGCATGTGGAGAACCTCGTTGCGGGCGGCAAACTGCTTATGCTGCCGGCCGCCCCCAGCATAGCGCCGCTGAAGGCCGCCCCGCCTGCTGACGTGGACTCCTTCCGCGTGCGCACCCTGGCCCTCACAGTCATTGGCGGCGCTGCCGGCCTGCCTCAGGTGAAAACAACAGAGGGACTCAGGTGGGGAAAGCAGAGAACGAGAAGACGCATGCAGGTGAAGGTGAGGCTATCAGTGTGATGTGACCGCCCCACTTATCTCCTGCTGCTCTCACACCCTTGTGCATCTCCCATCCCCGTTTCTCCTCACCCCTCGTCTGCCGCTCCCCTGTCCTCCCCCCCTTCCCCTGCCTCTCCCCTCCTCTGCTCTGCCCTCTACCTGCTTCAGGTGACGGTGCCACTGACAACGCTGAAGGGGAGTCCCCTGGGGCTGGGCCTGGTGGCGCCCAGGGGGTGGGACGAGGAGCTGCTCGCCCTTGCCGTGCGCCTGCAGACCATCCTGGACCTTCCACTGTGACTCGCCCGCCAGGGCAGTGTGGCCACTCACATCTTGGATCATCATTGAATCGACTCAAAAACCTTCACCATGGTCTATCATCTTCTGACGCGCCCTCAGCCTCTATCAGACGCGGGCTGTAGATGCAGTATGCTGCTGGTGCCAGTGCCTGCCTGGAGCTGCTGCTGGGATGCGGTTGTGTGGGTGGCGGTCGTGCCGGGTGCTGCAGTCAACAAGGGGCAAGTTCTTGAGACATCTCAAAATGCGAGCGTTACATATTGGAGAATCACTTCAACACAAAGCATTCCCCCTCTTATATATAGCATATACTGTAGTATATTCTAGTACCGGTACAAACCTTTTCCCTGTACAGAATCTCTAGCTGGCAGGCTGCGAGGCTACCATCCAAGTACTACCTAGCTCAATAGTCATCATCAACTTGACAAGCCACGCTCCTCTAGAAGCTCACACCACCTGCACGGCCTCAGGCCTCCACTCCCCATTCAGCACGCTCTCAGTGGGGCAATACACGCGCAGCACCACCGAAAAAGTTGCATTCGGTGTCGGCAGCCAGTTGCCGCCCACATTCGCATCGGGCGGCGCAGCCAGCTGGATAGGCACAGTGAGAGTGCCGTCCGGGTTATACACGAGCCCCTTGGTGCGATCCCCGATGCTGCTCCGCCACATGCCCTCGGGAAGATACCCATCGGCATCATACACTGTGAGCGACCAGAAGCCGCAAGCGGTTACGGGCGGTGGAGAGAGGTGCAGCGAGTAGTTGGCGGTGCTGCCGTCGTAGCGCAGGCCGAAGGGCCCCTGCCACGTGAAGAAATAAAGGGATTCTGCTGCTGGCAGTGCTCCAAGCCCGCCGGTGGATGAGAAAGCTGCTCGGAACAGGAAGCGATCGCCGTAGCTGATTGGGGGAAAGCGGGGAGGGAGAGGGAGGGAAGAGGGATGGGGAGAGCCAGAAGAGAGAGAAAGGAGGGGAAGAGGGGGCCGAGAAGAGAGCTGTTGCATACTGGGGGCACATGCTAGTCCATACCATCTCTTGTGAACAGCAAACGCCCATGCACATACACTCTCCCACCCTCATCCCTCCCCAGCCTCACTAGCCACAGCTCATCCCTTCCCATCCCTGCCAACACTCATACCTCCTCCCCACGCACTAACCCCCTTTCATCCCTCCTCCCTACTCACTGGCCCAGCGACGTGTCAGCGAGCCAGCGGTTGACGACCACGGAGCGGTTCACGCCCAGCAGCATGAGCGTGTATGCGCCCCTTATTGTCACATTCGCCACTGTGTACGCCTGTGAGAGCGCTGTGCTCTGCAGCGGCGAGAGGGCGGCGGGGGAGAAGGGCGGCGCGGAGGAGGCAATCCCTATGGCTGCCAGCTGGCTGAGTGCCCTGTGGGGGAGGAGGGAGTGAGAAGAGGGGGGGAGTTGGAGGGAATTGGGGGAAAGGCAGGACAGGACAAGAGGGAGAGAAGGTTGAGGACAGGAGGATGGTAAGAGGGGCCGGGATGGGGAGTTGGAAAACAGTCAACATACTTGCTGCTTGGGTGTGTGACGATACTGGGAGTGAGACAAACAGGTGGGTATACTGAGGGAGCAACAGGGGAGTGTGACTCACTCGAGATTAGCCTGGTCCTGGGCGGGCGGGTTGTCCTGTAGTGTGCGGTCGATGAGTACCAATCGCTGCATGCCATCTGGCAGCCCCGCCAGCTCAGAGAGGTCAGGCGGCGGCAGGGGCGTGGGGGGGGCGTTGGTGGCGGGCCGTGTCAGAGTGACATTGCTGGGAAGGGGGGATGGGGAGGGGAGGAGAGGCGGAATGAGCGGGATAGGGAGCAGAAGGGAGGCACAGGGAGGAGGGGGTGAGGAGGGAGGCAGGGTCGATAGCAGAGTGACCTGAGAGGTGGGCAATGGGCGATGGGTAGTAGGGGATGGGTGATGGGTGATGGGTGATGGGTGATGGGTGATGGGTGCTGGGTGATGGGTGATGGGCGATGGGTAGTAGGTGCTGGGTGATGGGTGTTTGATCATGCCAGCACCTGGCGGTTTACCTGAGCAGGCTGCTGGCAGCTGCCACGTCATCAGGCCCTGCCACCAGCACACGCACGATCACAAACACACTGCGAGTCCTGCTGCTCACGCTCAGCACTGTGCGCGCCGTGCCGTTGCTGCTCGACTCTACCCCACCCCCTCCCCCACCCCCTCCCCCTCCCCCTCCCCCACCTCCTCCCCCTCCCCCTCCCCCGCCCCCTTCCCCGCCCCCTGCTGCGCCTGCCTCACTGGCGTTGCTCCCCTCTCCCCCCTGCCCCTGCGCCTGCCCATCCCACTGCACCGTGACAGCGAGCGGCCCGGCCCCATGGGTGCGGGCACCGAACACAGCGAGCACGTCGCTGTAGGGGTCGAGCAGCAGCGCGCTGTAGTAGCGCGGCTGGGGGATGAACGGCAGGGACAGCAGTAGAGGAGCTGCGGCGAGGTCCAACCATGCCGCTGCGTAGAGCGTGTCCGTGTTGGATAGGGGGATGGTGGACTGGCAGAGAAAGGGAGGGGGGAGGAGAAGGAGGGATGTAAGGGGGAGGGCAAGACGGGGAAGAAATGGGGGGAATCAGGCAGTGGGGAGGAGCGGGGATTTGGGTGGAGTGGCAGGAGGGAGGAGCGAGAAGGGAGAAGGGAGGAGAAGGGAATAATGGGAGGGGACCATGCAGTCCATGCACACCTGGTTACCCGGTTACCTGGACAGTCTGGCAGCAGGTTGTGGGCGCGCACCTGGTCTTGAGCGGTGGTAATGTTGGTCTGCCGCAGCAGGGCGTTGATTGCAGGGAAGGTGGCGGCGTTGCGCTGTGATGTCACCAGCGGCTGCCCCCACACGTTCGCCGTCAGCCCCCCCTGCAGGTACCTGGGTGGGTGCACGGGGCATTGGGGCATGGGGATGTGGAGGCATGGCATGGCATGGCATGGCATGGCATGGCATGGCATGGCATGGCATGGCATGGCATGGCATGGCATGGCATGGCATGGCATGGCATGGCATGGCATCCTTGGTTGGTCACCAAGAGATCATGGTGCTAGAGGCGATGGCTGCTCATTCATTCCCATTCACCTGCCCCCGTGCGACATCGCTCAAGAAACGGGTGTCAGAAGCACCAGATTACATGCATCGCATCGCATCGCATTCACCTGACATATTCGCCATCCAGTATTCCGCTAATGAGCGACCCGTTACTGCGAGTGTCGGATCCATTCCCACCCGCCGTGCCTCCCAGTTCGTATCCGTCAGTGGCGGACGGAAGAAGCAGCGAGGCCGAGGTAGACGTATTCGCAGGCGCAGGGACAGGGGCCGGCGGAGAGGCGGACGGCGAGGGAGAAGCGGAGGCGGAGGAAGGAGGAACGTCAGCAATGCTGTAGGAGCTCTGCGCGTCGACTGAAAGGGCTGCGAACGACACGAGGACGAGGAGCAGAGCAAGCCTCGCGGGATGTGAAGAATGAGCCGCCATGAATGGCCGAACGAGAGGAGCCGACACCATTGCGCGCAATGACCGTTTGGTTGCCGCTCCTGAACGGTGCAGCTTGACTTGACTCATCAGAATACACCGTTGAGTTTACTTATCAGTCTAATCCCATCCCGCGGCAAAAAGGAGGAACACAAGTAGGGACAACGGTGAAGGTCGACGTTGCTCGTCCTGTCGGCTCGGTGACACTGACCACCTCGCGAGGTCCGTCGAATGATCGCTTCTCACATCCCCACTCGCCGCGACCCTTGAGGCCCCTCAGAAGAGCTCTGTGGACTGATTTGTTCCATCGCCACTCGGTGCGATCCGCGGACCACGGTGTGCGAGGCGAATGCATAGTCACGCCCGGCCGTGCGCGGCTGACGCGAGGCATGGCGCTGTATCGCCGCGAACCGAAAGGGTGAGGGTCAGGTTTGAGAGGAAGTGGTGCGTGAGGGGCGTGGGGGACGAGGCGAGCAGACACGACGGGCAGGGCGAGGTGGCGGACTGTTTGTTGTGACTCATGAGGCACTGTTGTAAGTGGGTGAAACAGCAGGATACGGCAATATCGAAGCTGAAAATGATTTGACAGCTGGGGCAAAATCAGGTGTTATGAGCGGTTGAAGGCAAGGCCAAAGTTGAGGTGGTGTGAACACCAAGGTCCCCACAAAGAGAAAATTGGCCTGGTTGCACGAACACACCACAACGCAAAATGCCCAGCTAATTGCGCGAAACGACGAAAAAATCACTCTGTTACGCAGTACAAAATAATCACATGCAAATCAGCACTCAGCGCAAAGCCGAATTCGTCCATAGCGAAGAACGCAGGATTAATGAACCCACCCCCCCAACTCCGGTGAGCCAGCAAAGAGTAGACACTGCTCACAATCGAGTGCATTCTCTGCTGTGTTAGAGGCTTTTCAGCATTCGCGTCGCAGCCATGGCAGACCTCCGATCTTCCAGGTACGCGAGCCCCGTCCCTCTCTTCTCGCTTCGCTCCCGTTCCCGTTTCTGGCCGCTTTCGCCGTGCGTGCCGAGCGTTGCGCCTCCCCCCAACCCATGCGCGTCCCCCACTGCGCGCTCCTGAGTCGGCCCGCAGGGACGAGGAGGGCGAGGAGCGCGGGGGTTGGGCGCACGACGAAAATTCGCGCGGGGATCAGGGGCGCGCGCGCGAGTGGGAGGAGGCAGAGCGGCAGAGCCGCGAGGTGAAGGTGGGACTGCACCCGCTTCAGGTGCGCTTGTGAAAATGTGACTGTTGCGAGAGGGATTTTGATGATTTTATCGAGCGGGGCTCTTTTAAGTTGACTCACTATTCCTTCTCGCCTTTACGATGCTCATCCAACACACCAGCGCCACCACCCTTCACCCCTCCATCCTTCTATCCCCGCTGCAAGCAGACGCGTTACGTGCTGTGGTACACGCGGCGGCAGCGGCAGCCGCCCGGGCAGCGCAGCGCGACGTCGTATGAAGACAGCATCCGTCGCATCGCTGACTTCAGCACTGTACGTGGCTGTTTGAGGGGGGGAGAGAAGGGGTCTAGGGGGGGAAGGAGTGGGGCGAGGGGGTAGGGCGGTAGGGGGGAGGCGGTTGCATCGCTCTGCGCCCAGGGGAGGGTCCCCGTGAAGGGACCGCTCTGCGCGCGTGGGTCAGCAGGCACACGGGGGCCCGCCCTTACCGAGATGGTGAGCCAGCGTCGGGTGGACCTCCCACAGCCTGCCGTCGGTTGTGGGGGCAGGGGGAGGGGGGCAGCAGAGCAGCATGGTGGTTCGTTCCCGTCCGTGCGTGTCTTCCAATGACAGTGGTGCACCATGGCTGTCACTGCTGACTTTTGAGACGTCTCAAAAGTCCAATGACAGTGGTGCACCATGGCTGTCACTGCTGACTTTTGAGACGTCTCAAAAGTCCAATGACAGTGGTGCACCATGGCTGTCACTGCTGACTTTTGAGACGTCTCAAAAGTCCAATGACAGTGGTGCACCATGGCTGTCACTGCTGACTTTTGAGACGTCTCAAAAGTCCAATGACAGTGGTGCACCATGGCTGTCACTGCTGACTTTTGAGACGTCTCAAAAGTCCAATGACAGTGGTGCACCATGGCTGTCACTGCTGACTTTTGAGACGTCTCAAAAGTCCAATGACAGTGGTGCACCATGGCTGTCACTGCTGACTTTTGAGACGTCTCAAAAGTCCAATGACAGTGGTGCACCATGGCTGTCACTGCTGACTTTTGAGACGTCTCAAAAGTCCAATGACAGTGGTGCACCATGGCTGTCACTGCTGACTTTTGAGACGTCTCAAAAGTCCAATGACAGTGGTGCACCATGGCTGTCACTGCTGACTTTTGAGACGTCTCAAAAGTCCAATGACAGTGGTGCACCATGGCTGTCACTGCTGACTTTTGAGACGTCTCAAAAGTCCAATGACAGTGGTGCACCATGGCTGTCACTGCTGACTTTTGAGACGTCTCAAAAGTCCAATGACAGTGGTGCACCATGGCTGTCACTGCTGACTTTTGAGACGTCTCAAAAGTCCAATGACAGTGGTGCACCATGGCTGTCACTGCTGACTTTTGAGACGTCTCAAAAGTCCAATGACAGTGGTGCACCATGGCTGTCACTGCTGACTTTTGAGACGTCTCAAAAGTCCAATGACAGTGGTGCACCATGGCTGTCACTGCTGACTTTTGAGACGTCTCAAAAGTCCAATGACAGTGGTGCACCATGGCTGTCACTGCTGACTTTTGAGACGTCTCAAAAGTCCAATGACAGTGGTGCACCATGGCTGTCACTGCTGACTTTTGAGACGTCTCAAAAGTCCAATGACAGTGGTGCACCATGGCTGTCACTGCTGACTTTTGAGACGTCTCAAAAGTCCAATGACAGTGGTGCACCATGGCTGTCACTGCTGACTTTTGAGACGTCTCAAAAGTCCAATGACAGTGGTGCACCATGGCTGTCACTGCTGACTTTTGAGACGTCTCAAAAGTCCAATGACAGTGGTGCACCATGGCTGTCACTGCTGACTTTTGAGACGTCTCAAAAGTCCAATGACAGTGGTGCACCATGGCTGTCACTGCTGACTTTTGAGACGTCTCAAAAGTCCAATGACAGTGGTGCACCATGGCTGTCACTGCTGACTTTTGAGACGTCTCAAAAGTCCAATGACAGTGGTGCACCATGGCTGTCACTGCTGACTTTTGAGACGTCTCAAAAGTCCAATGACAGTGGTGCACCATGGCTGTCACTGCTGACTTTTGAGACGTCTCAAAAGTCCAATGACAGTGGTGCACCATGGCTGTCACTGCTGACTTTTGAGACGTCTCAAAAGTCCAATGACAGTGGTGCACCATGGCTGTCACTGCTGACTTTTGAGACGTCTCAAAAGTCCAATGACAGTGGTGCACCATGGCTGTCACTGCTGACTTTTGAGACGTCTCAAAAGTCCAATGACAGTGGTGCACCATGGCTGTCACTGCTGACTTTTGAGACGTCTCAAAAGTCCAATGACAGTGGTGCACCATGGCTGTCACTGCTGACTTTTGAGACGTCTCAAAAGTCCAATGACAGTGGTGCACCATGGCTGTCACTGCTGACTTTTGAGACGTCTCAAAAGTCCAATGACAGTGGTGCACCATGGCTGTCACTGCTGACTTTTGAGACGTCTCAAAAGTCCAATGACAGTGGTGCACCATGGCTGTCACTGCTGACTTTTGAGACGTCTCAAAAGTCCAATGACAGTGGTGCACCATGGCTGTCACTGCTGACTTTTGAGACGTCTCAAAAGTCCAATGACAGTGGTGCACCATGGCTGTCACTGCTGACTTTTGAGACGTCTCAAAAGTCCAATGACAGTGGTGCACCATGGCTGTCACTGCTGACTTTTGAGACGTCTCAAAAGTCCAATGACAGTGGTGCACCATGGCTGTCACTGCTGACTTTTGAGACGTCTCAAAAGTCCAATGACAGTGGTGCACCATGGCTGTCACTGCTGACTTTTGAGACGTCTCAAAAGTCCAATGACAGTGGTGCACCATGGCTGTCACTGCTGACTTTTGAGACGTCTCAAAAGTCCAATGACAGTGGTGCACCATGGCTGTCACTGCTGACTTTTGAGACGTCTCAAAAGTCCAATGACAGTGGTGCACCATGGCTGTCACTGCTGACTTTTGAGACGTCTCAAAAGTCCAATGACAGTGGTGCACCATGGCTGTCACTGCTGACTTTTGAGACGTCTCAAAAGTCCAATGACAGTGGTGCACCATGGCTGTCACTGCTGACTTTTGAGACGTCTCAAAAGTCCAATGACAGTGGTGCACCATGGCTGTCACTGCTGACTTTTGAGACGTCTCAAAAGTCCAATGACAGTGGTGCACCATGGCTGTCACTGCTGACTTTTGAGACGTCTCAAAAGTCCAATGACAGTGGTGCACCATGGCTGTCACTGCTGACTTTTGAGACGTCTCAAAAGTCCAATGACAGTGGTGCACCATGGCTGTCACTGCTGACTTTTGAGACGTCTCAAAAGTCCAATGACAGTGGTGCACCATGGCTGTCACTGCTGACTTTTGAGACGTCTCAAAAGTCCAATGACAGTGGTGCACCATGGCTGTCACTGCTGACTTTTGAGACGTCTCAAAAGTCCAATGACAGTGGTGCACCATGGCTGTCACTGCTGACTTTTGAGACGTCTCAAAAGTCCAATGACAGTGGTGCACCATGGCTGTCACTGCTGACTTTTGAGACGTCTCAAAAGTCCAATGACAGTGGTGCACCATGGCTGTCACTGCTGACTTTTGAGACGTCTCAAAAGTCCAATGACAGTGGTGCACCATGGCTGTCACTGCTGACTTTTGAGACGTCTCAAAAGTCCAATGACAGTGGTGCACCATGGCTGTCACTGCTGACTTTTGAGACGTCTCAAAAGTCCAATGACAGTGGTGCACCATGGCTGTCACTGCTGACTTTTGAGACGTCTCAAAAGTCCAATGACAGTGGTGCACCATGGCTGTCACTGCTGACTTTTGAGACGTCTCAAAAGTCCAATGACAGTGGTGCACCATGGCTGTCACTGCTGACTTTTGAGACGTCTCAAAAGTCCAATGACAGTGGTGCACCATGGCTGTCACTGCTGACTTTTGAGACGTCTCAAAAGTCCAATGACAGTGGTGCACCATGGCTGTCACTGCTGACTTTTGAGACGTCTCAAAAGTCCAATGACAGTGGTGCACCATGGCTGTCACTGCTGACTTTTGAGACGTCTCAAAAGTCCAATGACAGTGGTGCACCATGGCTGTCACTGCTGCTGTGGGGCGAGAGGAAATAGTGGGGTAAGCAGGTAGGAAGGGGGTGGTGGGACGCGCCAGCACGCAGAAAGATCTCCCCAGTGTGCGCGTCGCTCCTTCCCATCTGCACTGCCCTGCCTCTACTCCCTCACTGCCCATCATTCCTCTCCGCATCCATTCTCCTCCCTGCGCCTCCACCACCCCCTCCACGCGTCCCCCCTCCATAGGTGGAGGGGTTTTGGGTGTGCTACTGCCGCATGGTGCGCCCATCCGCGCTGCCCGCCCCCACGGACGTGCACGTCTTCAAAGACGGCATCCGCCCGCTCTGGGAGGTGAGCCCCCCTCCTCTCCCCTCTCTCCACGCGCCACCGTTCAGAGTGTAGCCCCTCTGCCCTGCACTGTCTGCCCCCACGGACGTGCACGTCTTCAAATACGGCATCCGCCCGCTCTGGGAGGTGAGCAACCCCCCCCCTTCACCCCTTCGCTGATCTTCCCCTCCTCCTCTGCTCCCAGTTCCCCAAGCCCAGCAACCTGCTGCTTACCCCTGTCACTCCGCCCTCGCCTTCCTCCTTCCCCTTTCCCCTATCCGTGCTTCCCTCCCACCAACCCCATTACCACCCGTGGCAGGACGAGCACAACCGGCGGGGGGGCAAGTGGATGGTGCGCCTGAGAAAGCCCCTCACTGCACGCATGTGGGAGCACCTCGTGAGTGGTAGCAGGAGGGGGGGGGGGGGGGTGGGGGCAGCTGTTGAGTGCAAGTGAGGGGGGGGCGAGCGGCAGAGGGGGTGAGGGGCAGAGTGGGAGAAGCTGGTGAGAGAGAGGGGGCGGGGCAGCTGGAGGGCATGGGTAGCGGTGTGAGAAGTCAAGTCGCTGGGCAGGGCAGGCGTTTCCATGTGTGCTCCCACCACCGCCCTTGCCCACCCTCCTGTGTCTCTTCCTTTTTCCCTCAAAGCTGATGGCAACGCTAGTGCTGCTTGTGCCGTTGTTCCTCCCGCAGTTGATGGCGGTGGTGGGGGAACAACTGGAGGGCGCAGAGGAGGTGTGCGGGGTGGTGCTCAGTGTGCGGTTTGGTGAGGACATCCTCTCCATCTGGAACCGCTCTGCACCACACAGCCTGGTGAGTGCATGGTGGGTGCAGGATGGTCACACCACATGAGAGTCCTCACCTGGTTGATGTGTCATGCATGTGGCTTTATGCACATATGTTGTTTTTTCAAGTACGTGTGTTATTTTCCATCCCCTCATTTATGGCATGGTATGGAGTGTAACAACAGGCGCGGGACAGACTGTGTGAGTCGATTCGGAAGCACCTGGGCCTGCCACCCTCCTACACCATGGTGAGAAGAGACATGCGTTTGCCCTATTTCCACCAGCCATTTTTCTACCCTTGTCCGTGTACCCTCGCCTCCTCACTGCCCTCACCTCCCCCCTACTCTCACCTCCCGCCTGCCGTCATCTCCCCCCTGCTCTCGCCACGCCATCAGGAGTACAAGCCACACGACGCCTCACTCAAGGACCATTCCTCCTACCGCAACACATGGGTGCGCACGTAGCCTACGTGGCACCTGACCTACGTGGCGCTTGACCTATGTATCCCTTAGCCTACATGCCTAACAAGGCACTTTATCGCTCACCGTGCCTCGCAATTTGCCCCTCACACGAGCAAGTCTGTTTTTTTCTAGACCACTCCAGACAATGAGGCTTTCCACTGCAGTGAGGCTTCAACCTCCCTGCTCCTTGCCCCCTCATGGCATCATGGTTACTGTGCTTTGTTAGGGACACTCTGCCCAGTGTGCTCGGCAAGGAAACGAGAATGGGTGTAGCATACTGTAGGTACCATAACAGAAGTCTTAACATTCCTAACTGCTCAAGTGGCTGAAGTGACCCCCCGGCACTGGTACCTATCCGTTGTACCACGAAACAGGGTCGTGGGGAGCTCAGACAATTTCGATGGAAGCGGAAATATAAAGCAAAAGGAAGCAAATATATTCTATGGGCTGGGTGTACATATAGAAGAGCTGTTTTGAATTGCTCCTGTAGTTTTTCTTGGGGGAAACCATCCAACGATTGCAGTCAAGAATCACACCATCCTTCGAATCACCAGCTATCGTGCCGTCGCTTGCGCGAATCTTCCACATCGAGAGTTGTTTTGGGATCACCACTTTTGCTCGCGAAAGATTGGACTGCTCTGTATCCATTTTTCGTCACTTCGTCAACAGACTGTCCCACGTTCGCGACAGGTGTAAAGTCATCGCATAGTTGCCGAATCGCGCATCCAAACCACAATTACCGTACAGGCTTGCTATTCCACCCGTGCCTCACGTGCGACTTGGAATGCAAACATCTACGCGCGCGACTCACGGCGCCATCGCTGGAAGCAGTAGGAATGAAGTCTATAAAGAGCCACCATTGCTTCTCCTCTCATCACAAATTTCAAACAGCTCTACCCGTCTAATATTTGAAGCTGCCAAACATCACCAACTCTCCGTTTCAGTCTCGTCGGATACACACAGAAGCGAAAATGACTTCCTTCGGTCAGACCACTTTCCTCCTCGTCGTCCTTGCCTCTGCGATTTTACTTTCTTCCCCTGCGCGTGTCTCTGCTGCCGCTAACGCGACTTCTCCTGCTAACAAGGCTGCTTCTGCTAAGGCGAGTTCGCCTGCTAACGTGACCGGCGCCGTAGTGGCGACGGCGAGGCAAAGCAAGGGCGCGGGCGAAGGAAAGAACTCCACATGCGCCTATTACGGAAACTACAACACTAACCCCTACTTTAACAAGGGGCTCACCGCGAAGCTTCCTCCTGCCGAATTCGGCAAGCGGTGCGGCGCGTGCTACAGGGTGGTGTGCACCAACGACACGAAGCGCTGCCACACCGGAAAGGCGACCGTGACCGTCCGTGTGGTCGGCGAAACCACCACGAAGAAGCAGCTCTCTCTGTCCACCGCCGCTTGGTCCAAGATCGTGGAGGGATCCGACAGCTCCCCCGTCAGCATCACGTACAAGCGCGCCAATTGCGTGGTGTCCACCCTCGGATCAGGCGTCCGCGTGCGCAGAAACTCGACGGCGGAGAAATTCAACATTCAGATGGTGGGGCTTGCCGGCCCCGGCACGCTCAAGGAGGTGGAGCTCAGCGCGGACGGCAAGAAGTGGGCGAAGCTGACGCGCGACGGCAGCAAGGCCGTGTGGGGCATCGTGGGCGCGGAGGCGAAGGAGGTGGTGGGCGCGAAGAAGGCGATGAGCGTGCGCCTGACTGCGGGGCACACCCTGGAGAAGATCACCCTCGCGAATGCCATTCCCGCTGACTGGAAGCCCGCGACGGTGTATGCGTCCAAGGCCAACTTCAAGAAGATGATGGCTGAGAGCAAGTAGCGCAGTTGCGGGAATATTCGAGGTGCCGCCTGAATAAGAATGACGTGATGCTCTTCAAGTGCTTTGAACTTGTCTGAATAGTGGTGGCGGGTGGGTGGGGAGTGGGGCTGGAGAGGAGTGGGTTTGCAGAACACAGGGGGGGGGGGAGGGGAGGGGGGGGTGGGGGTTAGAGGAGGGGAGTGTGATGATGCTAGGGCTAAGACATGCTCCTGTATGCGTGTACCTTGCCAGTCTACTAGTGGCCTTGTACCCATGCGAATAGTCTGACACAATTCATGGCCCCTGCACATGGCACACGGCCTGCTGCACTACTGGGCTGGAAGCTGCAAGAAGAAGCTGAGGCTGCACCGCACGTTCTATGCGCAGTGTTCTTTTACAGCCATATACCGGTAACTTAAATTAGAAGCTACATGCCATTGCATCTAGCCAGCTACGTTGGGATCATCTCTCGATCTAGTTCACCAATGCAATTGCCACGAGGCTCAAGCCCTCACTTGGTAGTGACACCAGGGCATAGTGTGCTCTGTAGAGAAGAGTGCCTTTCCAATCCTCCTTGCCTGCCTGCCTGTCTGCCTGCTGGTTAGCTGGCTGCCGCGGCAGCACTTGCACCTTTAACTTACTGTCTCCGGTTGGCGTTCCAGAATTGATGCACATACTGCGTGCACATGCTCACAGCTCCATCCAATCTCCACAAAGTGATTTCTGGGATCTCCAGCACACAAGTGCTCCTCACAACCCTCCTCCACTCCCCTCTCACAGCCCTCCTGCCGCCACCGCTTCTTCTGCCGACATGACACCGTCTGGAATCGATCCCACACCCTTCGCTTGCCGCACCGCCGATTCGCCCTCCCCATTGCTACTCCCCACAACCCCCCCTCCATACTCCCCCACCACTCTTTGCGCATCCATCCCTTCACTCACACTCCCTCTCGTTCCCCCACTCATCGCGTCTCCCCTTGACCCGCTCCCCCCTAGTCGGCTGGCCCCTAATCTGTTCCCCCCAGAAGCACTCCCCCCCGACCTTCCCCCTTCCCCCAATGCCCCCATGTGCTGCTGCTGCTGCGGCTGCTGCTGCTGCTGCTGCGAGTAAGACTGGAACATGGGGATTCCCAGCCCGGCCACCGCTGCTGTGGCATCCAATCCCACTGCCTCCCCACTCGCCTGTGGTGGCACCGCCTGCTGCTGCTGGTAGGGTTTGAAAGAATGCAGATCTGCCTGCACCTGCTCTTGTTGCTGTTGCTGTTGCTGTCCTTGCTGCTGCTGCTGCTGCTGCTGCTGCTGCTGCTGCTGCTGCTGCTGCTGCTGCTGCTGCTGCTGCTGCTGCTGCTGCTGCTGCTGCTGCTGCTGCTGCTGCTGCTGCTGCACTCCTGCCTGCCCCTGCCCCATCGCTCCACTACCCTGTGTCGCCTTCCCCTCCCCCCCATCCTCCGGGATGGGTTTCATCTCTGAACCTCCAGGGGGGTGCTTCACTCTCCCGGACGACGTGGGGGAGACGGAGGGCTTGGGCTTGGCGCGCACGTGGCGCTGCTTGCGGGCGCGCGAGGGGCCGTGCACCAGACGCGTGAAGCCGAGGAAGCTGACGGTGCCGTCAAAGTTGGTCCACTCGTCCAGCAGGGCCGCGTTTGCCATCGACTCCACCTGCCCCAACTCCTGTGGTGGGAGATGATAGCAAGTGGGGCAGAGAGCGGGCAGCAGAGAGGGAGGTATGCAAAATGCGGTGAGTTCGGAGTTGACTCAAGAGGGAGCCAAGGCACTGGGGCAAGCCAGACGCCTCACCTTGACGAGCTCACTGATGGTCACAAGAAGCACCGTGCCATGTGTTAAAAAATGCCCAGCACATGGTTTACGACATAGGGTGTTTTTGAGAATTCTCAAAAACACCCTACAGCACCAAAACTCCCCTCACCTTGACGAGCTCGTTGATGGTGACATGAACATTTGGTAAGCCACACGCGGTGACTGTAGAACTGACTTTAGATCAGACACACCTTCACAAGCTCGTCAATGGTGAATTGTGCCTTGCCTCCGCGCACAAACGTTGGGTACGCCACACGTGGTGACGGTGACTTTACAGTCGACTAAAGGGAGCATAGGCAGCGAGGCAAGCCAGACGCCTCACCTTGACGAGCTCGTCAATGGTGACATGCGCCTTGCCTCCTCTCACAAACGTCTGGTACGATGATTGTAGGGATCAGGGGGGCCCTGCCAAGTGTGGGCCATCAGCTGGCCCTGCCAAGTGTGGGCCATCAGCTGGCCCTGCCAAGTGTGGGCCATCAGCTGGCCCTGCCAAGTGTGGGCCATCAGCTGGCCCTGCCAAGTGTGGGCCATCAGCTGGCCCTGCCAAGTGTGGGCCATCAGCTGGCCCTGCCAAGTGTGGGCCATCAGCTGGCCCTGCCAAGTGTGGGCCATCAGCTGGCCCTGCCAAGTGTGGGCCATCAGCTGGCCCTGCCAAGTGTGGGCCATCAGCTGGCCCTGCCAAGTGTGGGCCATCAGCTGGCCCTGCCAAGTGTGGGCCATCAGCTGGCCCTGCCAAGTGTGGGCCATCAGCTGGCCCTGCCAAGTGTGGGCCATCAGCTGGCCCTGCCAAGTGTGGGCCATCAGCTGGCCCACGGGTCTCACCTTGACGAGCTCGTCGATGGTCACATGCGCCTTGCCCCCACGCACGAACGTCTGGTACGCCACGCGCGCCCGCTCCGGCCAGTTGGGCAGCGCCTCCAGCTGAAACACGTTCAGCGCCGCCGCACAGAAGTCCATGAATGGCGTCCGTGAATGGCGTCCGTGAATGAATGGCGTCCGTCCGTGAATGGCGTCCGTGAATGAATGGCGTCCGTCCGTGAATGGCGTCCGTCCGTGAATGGCGTCCGTCCGTGAATGAATGGCGTCCGTCCGTGAATGGCGTCCGTCCGTGAATGAATGGCGTCCGTCCGTGAATGGCGTCCGTCCGTGAATGGCCCGTGAATGGCGTCCGTCCGTGAATGAATGGCGTCCGTCCGTGAATGGCGTCCGTCCGTGAATGGCGTCCGTCCGTGAATGAATGGCGTCCGTCCGTGAATGGCGTCCGTCCGTGAATGGCGTCCGTCCGTGAATGGCGTCCGTCCGTGAATGGCGTCCGTCCGTGAATGGCGTCCGTCCGTGAATGAATGGCGTCCGTCCGTGAATGGCGTCCGTCCGTGAATGGCGTCCGTCCGTGAATGAATGGCGTCCGTCCGTGAATGGCGTCCGTCCGTGAATGGCGTCCGTCCGTGAATGAATGGCGTCCGTCCGTGAATGAATGGCGTCCGTCCGTGAATGGCGTCCGTCCGTGAATGGCGTCCGTCCGTGAGTGAATGGCGTCCGTCCGTGAATGGCGTCCGTCCGTGAATGGCGTCCGTCCGTGAATGGCGTCCGTCCGTGAATGAATGGCGTCCGTCCGTGAATGAATGACGTCCGTCCGTGAATGGCGTCCGTCCGTGAATGGCGTCCGTCCGTGAATGGCGTCCGTCCGTGAATGGCGTCCGTCCGTGAATGGCGTCCGTCCGTGAATGGCGTCCGTCCGTGAATGGCGTCCGTCCGTGAATGGCGTCCGTCCGTGAATGGCGTCCGTCCGTGAATGGCGTCCATGAATGGCGTGGTTTTGACACCACCTTGCTTCGCGCTCGCGTCGGATTCCTTCGGTCAGTTATTTACGCTATTGCCTCTTTTCGAGTCCAGAGACTAATATTGTGTTTAATTTATTGGTATATCATAAATTGAATTGTCGCGTCAAATACGAGAAGCTCGGGACAAAAAAAAAATACCCCTCATGGAGGGCATGCCATTTGGGAGGCATCAACCCTAAACACCATGAGGCAAGGTGTTTAGGGTTGCTGCCTCCCAAATGGCCAGCCATCCGAGAGGGGTTTATTTTTTCCACTGGCCACTAAACTAAAACCAGGTAAACTTCAGAATTTTCCTGGTCACAGGAAATTGGAAATGTAGAAATCAGCTGCCCCAAGGAATCGGACGCGTGCGGAGAAGCGAGGCGGTGTCAAAGCCACTGCCCAAAGGAATCGGAAACTTGAAAACAAGGTGATCCGTCATTTCCTGTCTCAATGATGAAATTGCGGCCCAAATTGCGGAGCGCGCGGGGCAAGATTACTATTCTTGCACACTTCGCTGGTTTTGTGCTGTTTCTTCTGTGTGAAGCAATATGATTGGTTACGGTGGGTTTAGATGCAACTTGATTGGTTGCAGAAGGTTTGGAAGCAATCTGATTGGTCACAGTGCAAGTTTCACAAGTCTACAACTTGGGACTCTCGGTCCCCAAACACACGGTGGCCCCAGGACTTCGCGTTCACCAACCCCACCCTCAGCACCCAACCTTGCACAAGATTACTAATCTTGTGCAATTTGGGCCAGCAGCGCTCGACGCGCAGCGTTTCCACGCTGGCGGAAACACTCCGCTTGTGCGCTACGCTCTGAGCCAACCATCATGCGCGCACACACCTACCTTCGTAAGGGCGTCTCGCACGGTAGCGGGGGACGTGGCGGAGTCGACAGCGCACTCAACTCTGAGCGCTGGTTGGTTTGGATCAATCGCTTTGCTCCCCGAAGTCAGGGGGGTCAGATTTGAGGCTCTTCATTGGCTGGCTTTGAAAATGCAGGCAGGCTTGATTGGTGAATGTATTAGGTTCGGGGACGCAAAGGGTTTGACCGGCTGGTGCAGGTGTAGGGCAGTCTGGGGAATGTGCCGGGCTGGCTGGGGGTCATCGGATTGCCTTGCCTGCCTGGTCTGGATGCTGGTTGGGGCATCAATAGTTGATTGGCTGGCCCCTGCGCTGCGCAGACTTCCCCGCGCCAAGCACACCGCTTCGGTCTTGCTGGTGGCTCCGGATCTCGTCAACTACCAGTGAGGCCTTGCTTGCCCGCTGAGTATGTGAGGAGTCAGCAAATTTCACACGATGTCAGTGATTTCTATGGAAGTTGCGTCCTCCCCGTTATAAATGACACACAACAACCGACTTAACCAGCTGTACACCACCTAATGGAATTGAGCTCAGTAGATAGTATACACCAATGCCCCATGGCCTGGGAAAGAGGATGCAACATTTGCTAGAAACGCACACCTAAAGCGGGTGTTTACATTAATATCTAACTGATAAATTACAAGGTGGTAACAGGAGAAAACAGGAAATATGCAAGAGTTCTGCACTGCAATCAAACTGCAATCTCGGGTAGGTGTGAAAATGCAAGAGCACAATCAGCGCTTCTTGCCCATATACACCACCTCACACAACCCACTTCTCACAGACCCCACTCCGCCCGCCATAACCCTTCCATTCCCACACACCATCACAGCCAACCCCTATTGCAACTCCTCTGCTCGAGTCACTCACGCCTCATCAGGGGGAAAATCCGGGCGGCGCGGCACGGGCACGGGCAAGTGGTCGCCCTTGGCGCCCTTGGACAGGGCCACGGACCCCGACTTGGTCGACTGCGCATTGTCATCCCCGGGCGTCCAGTGCAGCGTCTCCGAGTAGTTCTGATAGCTGAACTCTGACGACTCTGACGTAGACGGGTACGACGAGGACGGCAGCGACGTGGCATCCGACTGGGACGACGACATGATACTCGCCGAATCCCGGTGGCTGCCGGCGTAGCTGGACGTGGCGTGGCCGAGATTCTCCACGAGGGCTTTCGCGACGTCGCGGATGGTGGGGCGGTTGACAGCCTGGTCCTGCACGCAGGTGCGCGCGATGTCACACAGCGCGTAGAGCTCGTCGAGATCAAAGTTGCCCTCCAGCTTGGGGTCCACCATGAGAGGGGTCTTCTCCCTGTCCGCCAGGTACTCCTCCGCCTGCATTCCACCACACATGGGCACATGGGCAAACACACAGGGGGGTGCACACAAGGATTTCGTTAGCAAGAAAATACGAGAAAATAATGGTTTTGCGAGGAGCATGCAGGCAGCAGGCTGCTTCAGAAGCTCACCCAATGGGTCACACACCCAGCACTCACCCAGTAAGCAAGAGGCTGCCACTCGTGAATGGACTTGTGGCCCGAGATGAGCTCCAGCAGCACGACGCCGTAGCTGTACACGTCCGACTTCTCCGAGAGGATACTCGTGTTCACGTACTCGGGGTCCAGGTACCCGAACGACCCCCGCACTGCTGTCGCCGTCGGCACCAGCTGCTCGCCGCCATCCGCACCGGCCCCGATGGGCGCCTCCTTGCACAGGCCGAAATCAGCCACCTTGGAGTAGCCGTCGTCGGAGAGAAGGATGTTGGCGGACTTGATATCACTGTGGGTTGGGGGAGAGGGCGAAAGGAGGGCAGCGAGGCGTGAGCAACAGAGGATGGAGCAATCTGGGATAACAAAGCAGCCTCAGGCAAAGAGCACAGGAAGTAGGCACAGAGCACGAAACACTGAGACAGCGAGACAGAAGGTAAGGAAGGCAACGCACCGATGAATGAGGGGCGGGTCGGCACCATAGTGCAGATACTCAATCCCGAGCGCCACGTGGATGGCAATCTTGGTGCGGCTGTCCCACGACAGCGGGTACTCTTTCGCGCTCTCCCCATGCAGGTGCTCATACAGCGACCCCATCGCCATGTACTCATAGATCAGCGCGCGCTCGCCCTTCTCAGCGCAGAACCCGACAAGGTTCACCAGGTGCCGGTGGTGCACGCGGGACAGCAGCTCCACTTCTCGGATAAACTCCACGTCGCCTTGCTTGGAGACCTGGTCGAGGCGCTTCACGGCCACGAGCTGCCCGTCCTTGAGCGTGGCCTTGTAGACAGTGCCGTAGCCTCCCTTGCCGATCACCGTCTGCCAGTTGTTGGTCGCCGCCTTCATCTGCTTCAACGTGAACTCGCGCGTCGCCTCTGCGAAAGGGGAAAGCGGGAGAGGAGGAACAGAGAATGTGAGGATGAGGCCCTGCGGGGCAAGGCGAAAGGAGAAACTGCAGGCAACAAGTGGAGGAGGGGGGAGAGAGAAGAGAGTGTGGGTAGTGGGAGGGGAGGAAGCAGCGCGGGCACTGACGGCGGAGGCCCTTAGTGAACATGCTGGAGATGCTCTGGCCGCGCTTGGTGTAGTGGAGGAACCAGAAGGCACCGCACACAGCAGCGATGGCGATGGCCAGCGACACCGTGATGCCGATGATCATGGGCGTCTTGGACGCCGGCACGTACTCCGTGGTCTGGACGGTTTCTGTTCCGTTGTAGCTCGTGCTTGAGAGCTGCGAGGCTGGAGAGAGAGGAGGGGGGAAGAGGGAGAGAACACGCAGGCGGAAGGGAGTGCGTGGTGAGGAGCAAGGGGGAGGTGTGCGAGGGGAGGAGCCACAGGTGCTTAGGGGCACAGCGGAAGGGGGAGTGGCGGCAGCGGGGGCACAGTTGGGCGGCAGTGGGGCACACCAGGGGGGATGGGCAGGGGGGTGGGGGAGGGCAGGGGGACGCGTACCGAATTTTAGGGTGTTGTAGAACTTGGTGCACTCGGTGGGGTCCTGCGGCGTCTGATCCGCCAGTGCCGGGTTGGCTGATGTGTTGAGACAGTTGGTGAAGTACCTGAATGGGGGGACAGGCGGAGAGGAGGAAGGAGGGACACAAGCAGTGAGAGAGAGAGAGGAGATGAGGGGAAAGGTGAAAAGGGGAGTGAAGGGGGTGGGTTACAGTGGAGCTTATGACAATAGATGCTGGGGTTTGAGGAAATTGGAAATTGGGGGAGCCTTTGCCAGTCAAGGTGTTGGAAAGAGGTCAGAGCGATGGCAGAGGGTGGCAGGGAGCGGCAGGGGGCGGCAG